GACAAGACGATCAGCATAGATCTTAGCACTTTCAGGACAATGCTGGACGACATCTCCCAAGCGATCTGGCTTGATGAAGTACGGAAGTTGGTTTGGAAACCATACCCGTGCTCTCCCATGATCGTTGACTTGTTGACCTAATGAAATTGCAGGTGGGCAATCCTTCAAAGCGTAAAACACTCCATCTCCGAACAATTCCCCTCGCAAATTGATAGCTTGGGTACTATTTCGAACTCCACCCACAGTAGGAAACTTCGGGGCTTCTCTCCAAGGTGAGGAATCCAATGTTCTGGAATGTCTTTTGGCTAAATCAAGTTCCTACACGCTCCAGAGTCAATCAATAAATCTTGGGTCACATTTCATGGGACAACAGACAAACTGATGCCATTGCTGCAAGCACATGAATGCACGTTCAAAGGAATAGTGATAGTGATTGTTTCCTCGTTTCTTCAGCACAGTCTTAGATGTACCTTTTAAATTCTTCTTACATGACTTGCTCCCTCCACCAAGGCTGGAAACATTCTCCCAAACCTTCCTGCGCACGGCCTCAATGGATATTCTGCTATTGCTGGCACTGGCCTCATAGACGGAGCCGAAAGGCTACTCGGCCCTTGTGGCTTGACCCCTAAAACCGAACTTGCAGCGACAGTACCTGACAGGATTGTAGCAGCACCTGCATGAACAGTGGCTGAACCAGCTGGAGTGCTCTTTGCGAGTGCTTTAGGCTTAGCTCCTTTATACAGATTATTTTTGTCATAGAGGTAGGGACACTTATCCCCCTTGGTGCATGAGTCGAAAGCAAAGTACATACACGGTTGTTTTGCTTTGTCATCTTTTGACGCAGGCTTTGAAGGATCCGATTTTGTACCTGTCTGTGAACCTTTTTTCCCCTTCCATTCCCCTTTGAGGTTCCTGGGGCTGCATTCACTGCTGCAGGCGGTTCTGAGGCTTTGGGTGCCTTCTTGTCTTTGTCTTTGTCCTTTGGTACCTTTTCAGCTTTCTTGTCTTTCTCTTTTTGGAATTGGCCTTTTTGTTTTTTCTTTCTGATGCTTTTCATCTTTTTGTCAGGATTGGCAGGGTTTGCATTTACCTTTCCGCCTGTTGTTTGCAAAGCTTTCTCAACAAATGACGTGTCCTCGTCTTGCTGATGCAATGCAATGGCTTCCTCCATGCGATCGACCAACCACTGTGACGTCCTTTTACTGGATGTTCCCTTGGATGCCCGGTACTTAACAATTGCTAGGGCTAGCAAAGGATGATGCTTAAGATTCTCATAAAGCATTGACGGGAGGGCGGACTCTTGAGGCATTTCTCACTGCTCCAATGATCCCATGATGTAATACAACTTCTGTCTGAACTCTTCCAGTGCCTTCACATCTTTCCCATTGAGCTTCAGGCTTAAGAGATGGTGTTGGCTGAGGCTGGCACCACGATCCTTGTCGAGGCTGTACTTATTCAGGATGAACCATAGCAAAAGGCGACCCGAATACTGTTTGCCCTCTTTCTGGCCCTTCTCTTGCAATGCTTGAAAATCTAAACTGAAGCTGGTACCTCTAGCGTTTTCCAACAACTTGTGACCCAAAGTTCGATCGAGCACTGGATAGTTTCCGACACTTGCAAACTCGGTTGGATCTTTGACAAGGCTGCATCTTTGAATCCATGCAACCAAAGGTGTTTCATCCCATTTGCATGTCTTGCAACTGGCCGGTACAACTTGACTTTTGAATCGACGGCATTCGGCTGCGTTCTTTGGGATGGCAGCAATCTTGATTGAATCATCCCCTTTGACCCGCATCAACTTCTTTTCAAATTGTAAGGATCTTTCTCATCTCTACTTGACGATGATGAGCCGCGAGATGCATTTGAACCACCTGGAGATCCTCCCGGGCTTCCCCCTCCACCTGTTGGACGACAGCTGATTCAAAATAGTTTCATACGGCTGAGTTGACTTTGAACCCTTTTCCCCTTTACTTCTTTTGGGAACTTGCTCACCGGAGTTATGACCCTCCAGAAACTTTCCCAACAACTGGATGGAGCCGGAAGGCTTCGCACCCGTTGCCGAGGAGCCCAAGGCTTCGCACCGGCACTGGCATTGGCAGTGGTGGAGCTAAAAAGCTTCGCACCGAGCATTGATTCCTGGACTTGGGACGGATCCGCATTCAACATGAAACCAAGTGATCCTGCACCTGGCTGGCTTTCACGACCTACTGGAAATACTGATATCTAAAAACACCGCGCCATTGTTGGCTTCTTTGGATTGTGATCCCATAGCTTGTGTTTTAGATCTTTCAATCTCTTGGTTCTGGATTTGGTGCAATAGCGATTCATAAGTCATAAGCCCCTTCTTTTTCTTGGAGTTGTTTCATCAACATTTCGCTTTGCTTGGTTTGCGCAATCAACCTTTCTTGGGGTTGCGCATTGATGTGAACCAATTCACCCAACTTCCCTTCAAGCCATGGTTTTGGGCTTCAACCTTCAACGACATGAACTCGGTAGCTGCATGCGATCTGAAGGATTCTATTTCAATCCGGCATTGTGCCTTTACGGCCTCAAGTTCTTGGGATGCTCTGTTCAAAGCTTCGGTAGCTTCAACCCTAGTGGCATTCAACTCGCTTTGAGATTGCGCAACTTGAATCTGCGACTCCCCAATCACCCTATTGGCTTCTGATTGACCCACAATATGAAGGGTTTCTGCCCTAGCCTCTTCTTGGACCCGACCTGCAAAACTAATTGCCTCAAGTCTCAATTCCTGACGAGACTGTTGAAAAGCACTGTTGGCATTACGAATAGCCTGATTGGCTTGAGCGAGGACAAAGGGATCCATGGAAATGTGCAACTCGTTCCGAACATCCGTTTGTGTAAATGAGGGACCCGGTGACCCTTCTGGACCCATCCCCTGCCCCAGTGGCGTTTGAATTGGATTCCTTGGCACATTTGGTGAATGTCCGGCTGATTGCCAAAACTGCGAAAGTGTTCCATCAGGACTTTGATTCGGATTTGTCACATTTTGCAACTGATTTGGATTTCTATCATCTGGGGTGGACATTGATGCGGAACTGATAGGGTCAGATGGTGTCCCAGCTCTCACCTGAAGTGCGCTGGCACAAACAACTCTATCCGACCTAGATCTATCTTCGCTTTCCGAACTGTCCCTACCGATCCTGGACTCGAATTCGGACATTTTGCCTCAGCTCCGGGATCTTTGCCACGACTTCACTAACGACGTTCCCTTCACAATCTTCGAAATACTCCTGAACTTTGCTCGGTGCAGTCGCAGATGCGACGAAGCTTGATGTGACTGGCATGAAGAAACCGACAATTCCCGTCAATTACCTCACAATTGTTGTCAATGATGGTGGCGTGGCACTTCCTCTGCGTCACCGCCCAACTCGCATGAAGCTTTCCGAAGGTTCCGATCCTCTGATGTGTGATCACCACGAAGCTGATGAGGTGACTCAAACCTGGAGTGCTATTGCAGCAGTCAATCAAGCTATTTTAGTTCTCTGAGATCACGAGATGATTGCCAAATTGATCCTTTAACCTCTTCAGCAACTCGAGATTCTCCCACGGAACAACTTTGGTTGCCCAAGCCGATTGGGTCCGAGACCTGTCGATTACCTGATGCCAATGAAGACACAAGCAATACTTTCTGTTGGCTGACAACCCTGAGTATACTCCCAATGCGCCCACAAAACCACGGGTCGAGAAGTCCATCAAGATTCCCCTATTGTCCCAGGTCAAGTATCGAGCGTTTTCCGGAAGATTGTACTGAGGAATCAACGCCTGCTCAACAGTCTTTGGTTTCGCTTTCACTGGAGGCGCGGGTGATTGAGATACTGCTGGACCTTTGGGCCTTTGCTCCAACACTGCCAATCTCCTGGCCACTGGTCCTTTTGGAGGTGGGAGCAACTGAGACCATCCTTGATGGCCCCGAGCTGGATGCTGCTTCAATCACTTGTCTAGGCACCGGCGATGGATCCTTTCGAGCTGCTGTGATCTTCACCCTCTGCTCAGTTTCTACAACCTGTTGAGATGCGCTTGCAAATTTTGGCACTGAACCGCTTGAGCCTTCGCCTTTGCAATCACAACCCTTGGAGATGATGATGAAGCTAGATTCAACTGAACGGCCAGATGGCGGACCCGGAGGCTCCTCGGGGAAGTTCGGGAACTCAACCCAACTGGGTGGATGAGCTGCCCATGGCTCCCGAGGTCGAGAAACCTCTTCAGTCTCTTCTTCCTCCTCCCACTGATCCTCCGCCTCCCCAATGACTTCCCACCTGACGGGCGCCCTCGAGTTACTCAAGAAACTTTCGTCAAGAATGTACGGGTGCTCGTTGGAGAATGCACCACTTTGTAATCCCTGTTCGAGAACTGCTACCTTCTGAGATTGTCCCCTACGACCCGACCGATGCCAGTCGACTGCCCGCCAGAGAACGTCCCCGATAGAAGTTATCTTTGCTCCCGCCAAGAAGCCGATTCAACGACAGCTAAAGGTTCGAAAACCAGATACGCAGAACTTGATGCGAATGTAGATCTGAAGCCCTACGGCTGATCACCACAAAAAAATGTGGTTTCAGCGCCCACTGCAAGATGGAATGGCAAACAGCGAGCGCAAACTTTTTCACACACACAGGGCACTTGAGCCAAAAGTCCGGACCATGGAAAGGTGATCCCCTGACCCACTGGACGGCTCAACGACATGTCGTTATGTCTCAGTGCATGTACAAACTGTAGATTCCTTGAATTACATCTTTGATGTAAAATTGCACCAGTATTTAATTACATGCAGCACACTTGCGAGGAAGGAGCCCAAAGGCTTCACGGCCAAGGCATTGGTGATGTTTCTACATGATTGAAGTTGGTGACACATACCCTTCATCTGGTGATACATCTACTTGGCACAACTGGTATATTTCCTTGAGTTTATTCTTCTAAGAATGGGAATAAACCATGATTATTTTGTTTCAACTCTGACCGACAAACCAATGCGACCAGGGAGCCGTTGGCGTCCCCTCGCTTTTCAAGAGCATCAATTGTGGAAGGCAACGGGGTCAAACCTGTCAAATGTCGTGTGGCGTATCAAGAACGGAAGCTGAAGTTTGGCATTGAGTTGATGAGAGCTGGCTTCTCCTTCTTATTGTTCTTATTGTTCCTCTTATTGTTCTTATTGTTCCTCTGATTGTTCTTATTGTTCCTCTTATTGTTCTTATTGTTCCTCTTATTGTTCTTATTGTTCCTGTTCTTATTGTTCCTCTTATTGTTCTTATTGTTCCTCTGATTGTTCTTATTGTTCCTCTTATTGTTCTTATTGTTCCTCTTATTGTTCTTATTGTTCCTCTGATTGTTCTTATTGTTCCTCTTATTGTTCTTATTGTTCCTCTGATTGTTCTTATTGTTCCTCTTATTGTTCTTATTGTTCCTCTGATTGTTCTTATTGTTCCTCTTATTGTTCTTATTGTTCCTCTTATTGTTCTTATTGTTCCTCTGATTGTTCTTATTGTTCCTCTCATTGTTCTTATTGTTCCTCTTATTGTTCTTATTGTTCCTCTGATTGTTCTTATTGTTCCTCTTATTGTTCTTATTGTTCCTCTATTGTTCTTATTGTTCCTCTCATTGTTCTTATTGTTCCTCTGATTGTTCTTATTGTTCCTCTTATTGTTCTTATTGTTCCTCTTATTGTTCTTATTGTTCCTCTTATTGTTCTTATTGTTCCTCTCATTGTTCTTATTGTTCCTCTTATTGTTCTTATTGTTCCTCTTATTGTTCTTATTGTTCCTCTTATTGTTCTTATTGTTCCTCTTATTGTTCTTATTGTTCCTCTTATTGTTCTTATTGTTCCTCTTATTGTTCTTATTGTTCCTCTGATTGTTCTTATTGTTCCTCTGATTGTTCTTATTGTTCCTCTTATTGTTCTTATTGTTCCTCTGATTGTTCTTATTGTTCCTCTTATTGTTCTTATTGTTCCTCTGATTGTTCTTATTGTTCCTCTTATTGTTCTTATTGTTCCTCTTATTGTTCTTATTGTTCCTCTGATTGTTCTTATTGTTCCTCTTATTGTTCTTATTGTTCCTCTGATTGTTCTTATTGTTCCTCTTATTGTTCTTATTGTTCCTCTTATTGTTCTTATTGTTCTTATTGTTCTTATTGTTCCTCTTATTGTTCTTATTGTTCCTCTTATTGTTCTTATTGTTCTTATTGTTCCTCTTATTGTTCTTATTGTTCCTCTTATTGTTCCTCTTATTGTTCCTTTTGTTCCTCTTATTGTTCTTATTGTTCCTCTGATTGTTCTTATTGTTCCTCTTATTGTTCTTATTGTTCCTCTGATTGTTCTTATTGTTCCTCTGATTGTTCTTATTGTTCCTCTGATTGTTCTTATTGTTCCTCTTATTGTTCTTATTGTTCCTCTGGTTGTTCTTATTGTTCCTCTTATTGTTCTTATTGTTCCTCTCATTGTTCTTATTGTTCCTCTTATTGTTCTTATTGTTCCTCTTATTGTGCTTATTGTTCCTCTTATTGTTCTTATTGTTCCTCTCATTGTTCTTATTGTTCCTCTTATTGTTCTTATTGTTCCTCTTATTGTTCTTATCGTTCCTCTGATTGTTCTCATTGTTCCTCTTATTGTTCTTATTGTTCCTCTTATTGTTCTTATTGTTCCTCTTATTGTTCTTATTGTTCCTCTTATTGTCCTTATTGCTTATTGTCCTTATTGTTCCCCTTATTGTCCTTATTGTTCCTCTTATCGTTCTTGTTGTTCCTCTTATGGTTAATCCTCTTATTGTCGTTATTGCTCCTGTCGTTGTTCTTATTGTTGATCTGATAGTTCTTATTGTTGATCTTATTGTTCTTACTGTTGATCTTCTTCGGAAATCTTTTCAGCAGCAACAACACGCTGGAAGCCACAGCATGAATTTGGTATGTTATGCAGCTTTGCTTATGTGCAACACTCACAAGAGGATAGCGCCCGTCCAGTGCTTTTTGAACTGCTAAAGGTACACGGATTGTTGATTTACCCATCCCAAAAAACGAGTCCGTTGCAGAATCATCTTTCCAGGAAGGCATGGAATATCAAAAACGATTTCATACAATTTCACACAATTTCCATATATTTCCATCCGCCAACCATATCAACCATGACGATTTCACAGATCCAACTCCCCCACCTGTGCACAGCCTGCCCAGAGCTTCCAGAGACACCGGAGACCATCCGCCACTGTGGCGAATCCATTTCACACCGTTCCTCTTGGGGCATGGCAGGAAGACATGAGGACTACACTTGGAACAGCAGTCTCTCCAAATAGGTTTCTTCAAATTATCATCATCCTGATGTAGATAGAATCTGTGTTTTTTCAAACATATTCCCAATTCAGTGATGATGTTGAAATGTCCATATGCTATCTACAACAGGATGAATCTATATGTATATATACATACATATATATATATATACTGTACATCATCTAGCCTAGGTTTTCATCCACTCCTCTGCCACCAGCGCCAAGGCTCTCGTCGGGAAGTGTTCCAAGCTCTTCGAAGCCCCACTGCGCTTGCAGCGACTCCGAGCCCTCCGCTTGCCGGGATGGTTTCACCTTCGGCAACGGGGCACCGGTGGATCTCTGGCTTTTGGATCTCAGGTTTGATTTGCCGATCAAATTTCAAAGCAAGCACTTTGCCATCTGTTTGGATCTAGTTAAGGAGGAGTCTACCTTTTGAGGCAGTGGAAACTCACTTCGCCAACCTGTGTTTTGATCCCAAGAAAAAGAGCTACTTGAACTTTGAGCCAAGCCACATAGACCGGCCATGTCTCGACATTGTCAGGCAGTGTCACCTTAGCCATGACTCGACATGATATGACAGGTGGCCATAATGTGGGAATGTCCGTATTCTTGTTGTACAGAAAATATTGTCCTTGAAACTGACAGTCTGAATTCCAGGCTCAACCAAATGGTTTCAGGATTGAATCGGTTGTAGGTACATCTACCATGGGTTGCCCATGGTTTCATCATTGTCACAGATGAAATATTTACATGTTAAATACATATATACGTATTCCTACATAGCGACATGGCTACTATTGCATGTACATGTTTATCTCACCCTACCTACATCAAGATACATGCTTAAATGTAAGCATTCATCGATAACATATTCTGCAATATGTACATATATGTATGTATGTGTACACATATATATATATATATATCATATATATCATATATATATATATCATATATATATACATATATGTATGTACATATATCTATATATGTATGTATATATATATATATGATATTTGTGGATATACCATCTACGACTTATGTGGTAAGCCCAATGGCTCGCCATTGCCGTCGCAGCTCCATGAGCTCGGCCAAGGGGTGGAAGGCTTTGGCCTCGGCTCTCGGCGGCCTGGAAGTGTGGTAAGAAAAATATGGGGAAAATCATCACCTTTAGCCTTTGTATCATGTGTATAAATATATATACATACATATACGAGTATATACATATATATATATATAGATTATACTGTATATATTATAACTTATTAGAAAAAAAACAATGGTTCTATAGTTATTACAATGGTTCATGTGTCCTCAGAATCCTCTGTTTGTTGTTTTCCGATACATGCACGCAGCTCAGTCCCTTTCTACCGCATTGATGAGTTTGATCTAATTCATGTTTGCTACATTGTCCTATTTATATCAAACGCTGGGATTTCCATTGCCATGATTACAAGAGGCTATCCCAACTGTGGATGTTCCAAATTTGAGCAAATAATCTTTCCGAATTCCAGGTTTATCCATGGTTTATCCATGGTTTATCCATGGTTTATCCATGGTTTATCCATGGTTTATCCATGGTTTATCCATGGTTTATCCATGGTTTATCATGGTTCCCAATTTTTGATTGTTGGGGCCATGGAACCACCATGGTTTATTGGTTGGTTGGTTTATCGGACCGAAGGACCAGCTCCGCCGAGACACCGGTGGCTGCAACTTAAAGGGCTGCTGCCCAACGTTCACCGTCATGGCGCCTTTATCGCCAGGAGACAGTAAGGCCTCGGTCTTCGCCAGGACAGAGGAAGATGCCATGTTTCTTTCGCCAAACTCCCAGGTCAAAACTTGTTTTAGCAACATTGAATCATAAGTAGATAAGATTTGAAAACCTTTCCAACAACATTGAACCAGATGATCTGAGATAAGTAGATAAAATCATTCAAAGGTCTAACTGTCTAACTTCCATCTTTCTCTTCCCATCTCGAAAAATCCCATGGAAATCCCTGGCCGAGGCGCAATGAACGGCATCCCCACCTCCGCGGGCATCTCTTCGGCTGCGAGTTGCAGCACCGTCTCGAAGGCGGGCTTATCCAACGTGGCCACCCTGAACGGATCATCGGAAAATGTGGAAAAACCTCATGAAAATGTGAACCCCAGAAAAAAGATGGACATGTAAAATGTGAATCACTATTTTAAAATGTTAGTCTTATTTTAGTAGGATATGATTTGAGCTGGATCTATTTTTGGTTGCTAAGATGGGGATGGTGAATCCGTCTGAGGAGGCCACTGGACTGTCCCTGCGTCGCAGTCCACCGCAAAAGAGATCACGGCTCCATCCTTCCACACAGCACCTGATGGAATCGGAATCGATGCAACAAACGGAGGTCTCCACTGAACTCGGTGAAGTTGGTAAATCGATCTGCCACTGGCAAACTTACCAGCGCCTCCGAGCTACAATTCACCACCCAAATCATTTCCAAACTTCCGGATACGTACCCAGATTGTTGCTTGTCCCACCCAAAATGGGAAAACACCCACCGAATAGGGTGTACCCTCGGTTTACGGCCATCAAATATGGGATGATGATCTCCTAAACCATCAAATTTGGTGGTTTCCAGCTAATTTAAGACAAACCCCAGATAGGTATGGGTAGTCCATGTTGAGTCTATTCGACCAAAACTAAACCATCTCAAATTTCGGGGTACTAAAAAAACATTGGCTGTGCGTCAAAAGCCTGGGACCTACCCTAAAACAGCTGGCTATTGGATATATATTATTCTTTATTCCCCCAACTATGGTCATGATATGATATGATATGGTTATAATGGGTTTTCACCCATCCCCAACGCCAACTCTTCGCCACTCCTGAGGTCGCCACTCTTCCCTTCATCCTTGCCGTTGTGTCGACAGACGCCGTTGTGCATCAAGGCGAAGGTACCGAGGTCCTGGAGCCAACGAAACGTTGACGAAACATCGGTGGATAACCTGGATATGAATGAATACATTATGTGTATATATATATATATTATACAAATATACAGTAATATACACATGTTTATCTATATATATATAATTATATATATAATTATATACATATATATATAATTAGGTACCCCTTCATTACGAGGGTAAATCATTTAGAAATGGGGGTTGTCCATTGGTGCGGTAGATTACCTAAGTCTGAGGGAAGACATCAATTGGGGGTGTACTATCAGAAAAGGATTGCAAATCAGAGTTTCGGATATTAACTTAACAGTTTATGAAGAGACAGTCCAGCAAGCGACTTTCCTAATCCCCTATCAAGGATACCAGCTGGCACAACAAATCCAAATACATACAATGACATAGTGACCTGCATTGACGCATGCCAAGGTTGGAGTCAAGAAAGATTAGCACCTGAAAGATGCTGAAAGACTTGTGAAGCAACCTCCGCAGCAGTCCTCACCAGGCGCATAATCATCATCCTTAATCAATTTCAGTCGACAGAATCGTAACCTCTGCTAACCTGCAACCCCACATCACACAGAATGAGGACGCATGCAGAGGCTTTGTGTCGCATGAGGCCAACAATCCCCAGTTCCATCTGAGGATCGACATTCTGCAAGGCCAAGCCAATCAAAGCGCCGTCTCCAACCTTCTCCGCTGTGACCTCAAAGTAGACCTTTTCACAAACCATCAGATCAAAGCGTCAAGGCACAGCGTCTGCAAATGCATTACTCATCACTATGAAAGTTTGGGATAGGCAACTCTTGACAACTTGGTTGCAGGAACTTGCAGGAACTCTTTCAATCATCTCCAACAGTTCATTAGCAAAAGCAACTGAACAGTTCGTTGCTGTCAACTCCCACCTTTCCAGCGAGTTTGAAGCGGTCCAACGCTGCCACTTCGAACTGTCGCCTCTCCTCATCTTCCACCTCCTGGCCGCACTGGGATGGCCCGGACAATCCCGGACATCCCAACGGTCAACGCTGCAGCTGCACCTTCGCCACAGTCTGCTTCTCGCAGCGAGAGCACACTGCAACATCACAACCTTGGCAGTCAGTCTCGGGTCAAATCATCTCTCAATCGGTTTGGATGAAATTGACTTCGCAAAGATTCCGTCAATGAACAACTAAAACCAAAATGCTTAATGCTCAAGAACTTGACTACTTGGCACAGTCACCACAACTGAAGGACTGAAGGATAAGCACCAGTGCAGGCATCCGGTTAGGCTGGGCCGTCAGTGCCGCGGATGTGCCAAGGGACGATTGCACCACCAGTGGGCACCATTCACTTCGCGGCCACAGCGTTCGCCTCAACATTTGGAAATCCAAAGTTTGGTTCTCCATGGGTCACTGACATGGTGTCAATGTCAATCGGTAGGTGTGAACGGTCGTGAAGCAACACCCCCATCATGAGCAATAACCCCTCAAGAAACCAGGCTGTACTTTCACGATTAAGTCAACCCCAAGCTACCTACCCTTCACAGTATAGCCTCTGTCATCCTTGTCCCTTACATTGAATGGCCTGTTTCCTGGCTGAGACCTGAATGGCATGTTGCTGAGACTGCACCTTCAAGCTTCATGGGGCTGTTTTCAGTTGTCAAGGCCAAGCTGCATTCAAGTCCTTCTTCATCATCATCGTCCGTGCCCTTCTTGCTGGTCAAGACATGCTTGCTTGAGCCTCAGACCGCCATCCCAGCACATTGCCCATCCCTTTTGGAAAAGTCAGAGGCCTCAAAATCAGGATCCTTTTGGTTCTGCCTTTTGGTTCTGCCCCCTTTGGCGTCCGAGGAACACATCGGTTTCCCTTTGTTTTTCAGGCCTGATGCGGTGAGTCGGCATCCCGCATTGCACTTCGAGACCTCGGAAAGGAGGTAGAAAATGACGCCCACAACCCAAACATTCGCAATGATTCACCCATAAAAAAAACTAACCATCATCAAACACCAATCCAACATTGAACAACATTCACAACCATCAACCACCATAAACAAGCATCAACCCAACTGTTCATCAAATCTACCCATCTTCCGAATCTTCCCCCATCATTTTCCTCCCAGCGTCCAAGGGTTCCTCTCCCGTCAGCTTGGGCTCAATGAGTTTCTCCAAGACAGTGCCATCCAGGCGCGAGGCGGACCAGGTGCCACTGATCTCGTTGGCATCCAAGGACCACCAGAAACCTCCGGTGCTTCATTCCTATCGCCATTCTTGGCTTGGTGTTGATGGCTGATCTTGAGATTGATGATTTGTACATAAACTTAGATTGATTCATATTCATTGACATACATATATTTATATTTATATCTATATCAATTCAATAGATGTTGAATTATGTTGATTGGTATGGGCTGATACAGGTTGAATAGCCAACGGTTAATTGTTGATATTGGTCAAATAGCCAGTTGCTGGTTGGGAGTCGAGCCACCACCTGATTTGTAAAGAGTCGATTGGGATCATCATCCCCAACCCCAAAAAATATCACACTTTCAAATTACCGATGGTTGAAAACACAAAATGGTTGAAACTACGTACCTGCCGGGACGATTTCACTTTTTGTTACACATTTGGATTCAACTTGATTCAACTGCAGGAAGGGTTCCCAGTTCACCCAACAAATTCTTCTGGGGAGATAAACCTGACACTGGGACCCAAGTGCCAGGCAGTTGGTTGTTTCCCTGAATGGAGTCTGTCCTAAAGTGGTGGACCCCAAATTGGTCCTTTTTCAGAGCGTGGGTAAACCAATGGTTTGGAATATCTAGGATATCTTCATTGGTTCATTTATGTTAGGAAACACCCAAATAGATATCAGCCATTCAAATCCTCCAAGTGCATCCTCCGCACCTGTGATGCTGGCGACAGCCCCTCCTTTTCGATCAAGTTGGCCCTCCAGCATGGCGCGGCCCTTCCAGCCATTCACCTGCAAAAAATCAGAGAAATAGACAAATTAGATTCGAATTGGCTGAGTCTATAGAATATTTGGGAATGGTAAATGAGAATGGAAAGATGGAAAAAATATATATATATATATTGATCCAGATTCACAATTTTCAGTGTGAAATTCACCCCACCTGCAAGCGCAAGGATCGGCTGCTGAGCGAACCCTCCACGATGGCATTGCTCACCTGCTGTCCAGGGAGCTTCGTTGATATCTTTGGGATATCTTTGGGATACCTGGGGGCTGTAAATGTGTTGGTACTTTCAGACCAACAACGCACATGGATTTGTGTTTTGTTGGTTTAAAGTATAAAGATAAACATTATCTTCTGGACTAGCCCTTCAAAGTTCCAGTAATGATTGTAGAGAAAATCTACTTTTTGACAAACTGATCTTGCAACAGCTCTTTACTGAGCAAACCAAAAAAGATAAGCAAGCAACTGCAATTCTGTTTGAGCCACCAGATTTTAAGGAAAGGTCAATTGTATCTCAATTGTCCTAGAGCACGTTTGGCTGTTCCAGCCACACAATGTCAACAGTGCATCGATCTCAGTGAAGTATCTACAATCTCAAACAAGTTGCGCATTTAAATACCCACTAACTTGCCCTACAGTGTGCGATACACACTTGTTCACCATGTAAATGGAAGAACTGAAGCAAAGAGTAGCAAAGTTGCAGCATGTTTTTTTCGCAAAGCCAAAGTGTTACATACCAAAAGTTGCAAAAATAACGACAAAAAAAACATGAGCCTTGGGTCCTTCATCTGCACAGCCTAGTTTTCACAAATCCAGCGCCTTGGGTCCTTCTCTGCTGGTCGCATCCTCCAAGTCAGGGCCCTCCAGCAGCACTCCGTTCACTGCGCCAGAACGCGACTCCACGGCAAAGTGCACCTGGAAACCAGAAAAAGTAACCCTTTGCTGGTCATTCTTGGAATTGAAAAAAAAATGGAAGAGTTCCCTGATTTCCGCCATGTTTGGGCAACACATTTCAAGAAACCCAACGGCGTTTTGATCCGTCGAGACCAGTTTGCCGTGACTTTTCACCCCTTGCAGTTTCTCAGGTTGGCACGGTCAGCCACATGGTGAAGGCGTAGGCCTCTCCGGTTGCGGGGAGCGTTGGCCCCTAAAATGTTGGGGGTCTGAATCAGTTTTCTACTCTGAATGTGCCAACATCCGCCGAAAATGGATCCTGACCTGTTGGTGATATCCCCATCAATTCTGCTCTAGAATCCTTTTACAAACTATCACCATCTACACACATTGCGTTTGCTTTCCCCCCCTTCAGAGTATGATTCTGAAATTTGATGTAGGTATGGATCCACGGCACCCTTCCGTTTGCACCATAGAACAGTTCGCAATTGTGGATGTTCATCCCCCTTAAACATGGTCCCATGATGTCCCATGCGCTGATGGATCAATTGTGGTCAAAAATTAACCATGGTCCTACCATTCGTCAACGTTTATAGATAGTTTATATATCTAATTGGTATTGTTTTCTGTCTTTACATGTGGTTGAATTCGATTCTTGGTTAAATTGATTAAATCTCATGATTTACTGTTTAAATCCCATTATTTTTAAGTCAAATCCAATTTTCTCAACCCCTTTTCCATCCTTTTCCTGGATAGATCCCCTTTTTTGGTGACTGAAACTCTGGCCCGCCGCCTGCGCACCATCCTGCAATCCCACGGAGACGCGCCACAGCCCGGCCAAGCGCGCAGACTCGTCTACCACGCGCATGGCGCTCCAGCGGCCCTCCTCGGGACCGAGGAGGGAAACATCGCCATGGGGGATCTAAGCAGCAAAACATTACCATAGTTGTATCATGTTAGTATCATTTCAAAAAAGATGATGAGTTTCATGTTTGATTTGGATATACATAATAATCATAATAATCAATGAGAGATAAGATCTATATGGAAATGGAGGTTTAAGTGGCAATCAAAGTTGATTTTCCCAATTCTAGAGCTTTCATGGCACTCCTAAAGATGACAACTTCATGGGGAACGGATGACAAAGAGGAAGACCAAGAGCTGAGAGTTGAGACTGGCCAGAATCAAGATGATTCCAAGCTTTCAGCCAAGGGGAAACTTTACTGATTTCGAATAAATGGTTTTCTCCTTACAACTCTTCAATATCTATAGGAGGCTTCTTGGAACCGAAGATTAGGCGGTCCAACAATTGCAGAATGTGAAAGCCTTGGGTTCTCCAAACGACTGGGATACCAGCAAGCCAGCAGCAGCTATATGATCTACACATGTCACATGATGTGAGAAAAAGATCTCTTACCAAAGAGGACGATTTGGCCCTTTCAATTGTTGCAAGATCATCCAATAACTCATCCAACTTTGGCAAAGCTGCTGTCACCATCTTCAGACCCTCCGGGATCATCATCGTTGGGATTGGCTGCGCGCCATTCACCCTTCAACAGCGCAGTGGTTTCCTGAGGCACTGAGGCACGGGAGATCAATGGTAGCGAACCTGAATATTGTGTTGCAAATCACCCATATATGAAATTGAATTGGCTCGAAAATTGGATTCAAAACAAAAATGATCAAAGTTTTAGATCCGGCACCCCAAATTGAACCATACCTGTGTTGGCAGTATTTTCAAAGGAAATGAATGATTTTTGAACGTATTCCATTTGAGAAATATCCTCCCAGCCAAAATGTACAACATCCCAAAGCAAGCAAAACGAACGCTTTGCCTGCAACGCTAACGTCAGTCACACCATGCTTCATGTCTTTCCATCACTGCACCTGTCATTGCAGCTTAAGGTCGCTCTCGTCTACGACTGCGCCGTCAAAGCCTTTGCTCGTCAGAGCAAATACAATACAACATGAAACCAAGAATGGCAGTGTTTGATTTGATAACACCCTTGACATTCAGCATATTGAATATGCTGAATGTCAAGGGTGTGCCTTTCTGAGCTGAATATGCTTGTACAGGTTTCGTGGGAAGAAACATTGATGTTTTTTGACGACAAACACATCAAGCATCCAACTGCTTTGGAGGTCCTTAAACGCCCCCAGGCCGTGATGTTGGTCCAAATAAGGTGGCTCGACGCTATTTTGTTGCGGTCAATCATCTGGAATCGGGTCTATACTCGATACGGTCTATACGTGCCTTTCTATTATATGGCAAGATGCAGAATTGGACAGTGGTGGGTGGCTGTTCCTCTTCCTCCTCATCTTCTTCGTCCTCTTCGCGCTTCCTTGGAAGGAGCCCCATGGTCCATTTCCATCCATTTCCAAGCCAACTCGTCAGAAAAATCCAGTATATCAAGAAAATGTGCATACAAAGGTTGCGGCAAATCAAGTAGGGGGGTCCCCAAAACTGTCAGATACCCCAGTCCATTCTTGCTTTGGTATAATACCCGTCAAATAGATTGGTAGCCCAATTTTGAGGATGAATCTGACTCTGGAAAATCCAATAAGTCAGCCACACTGCTGGTTGCAGCAGAGTCTCTTCTTCTCCGCAGCGGACTTCTTCTGATCTCCGAAGAGATCTAGAGTTACTTGGCGACCCACCAGCTTGCCCTGTGGCATCGCAGGCTGCAAAATCTCAAATATAGATGCAGCCCACGCCCAAAAAAAGAGTTTGTGCACCCACTTTTCACTCGGCTTAGATATGGATGGAACGCTATGGAACGTATGGATTTGTAGTTTCAACCCCACACCTCGCTGCGCAATGCCACGATCTTGATGGCTTTCTTTTCGGGCTTCTTCTCAGCCTTCTCCTGTGGCAAGGTGAACGGTCACCAGAACCGACTGGAACCACTGGGACCCCGCGGCCTCGGCTCCCGGCACCTCAGGTTCTTCATCCTCGCCATCGTCGGAGGAATCGTATTCCGAATCATAGTCCTCACCATACAGTTCTTCAAAGAAATCGGAGAGCTCCTGAGGCAGGTCTGGAGAAGCTGAGGGTGTGTGTTCTTATCTGCTGTTCCACTATGGTTGCTCTTCAATTTTGATGAAGTAAATATGGATTGCACTGAAGGACCATAAGATACTTCCCTACTGTGGATGGAAGAAATCCTGCACCAGTTGATAGGTAGTTTGTTCCATTATTTACAGGGTTTTAACCATCCAAGGTGGTGCAGGATTTCTTCCATCAACAGTATCACAGTCAACAAATTTCAGTTTGTAAGTCAGTATAGAATTAAGCCCTGCTTTTGCCCGCCCAGTCTCCTCTTCCAGATAGTGCTCGCAGAGTAAGTCGTGCAGGAAATCAAACTTGTGTTCCAGGCCGCAATTTTCGAACTCGCGGCGCAACTTTTTGGCTGCCCTGATCTTCCTAAAATGCTCGAAGAGTTGCTTGTAGCTTCTCAAGACCTGCGATCCAGGAAGGCTTCAAACTGTTGACTAGTGTAGGCCTGCTCATCAGTTCTACTATTGTTCTACCTGTTCTTAGCTCAGAACAGACAAGCTGGCACCCTCAACAAATGTTCGCCCACCAGCTGCCCGGCCCCGTGAGGCAACCCGCCTGCCCAAGATCTCCATTGTAATTTTCCAGAAGTTCGGTCAACTCCACCACACAATCGTACATGGGCACAAGCTCTTCACTCAACGTGCTCCTGTCCACCTCGGGTCTCTCATCGGAGTTGACATCGGAGCAATCGTCGGTTTCACCACGGTTCAAGCGTATCTCCTCACATTGTCGGGGGGCAATTCAAGTGATCGGCTGTTCGTGGAAAGCTTAAGCTTTGACCTTTTTGACTCTTAGGTTTTGGTTCAAGTGAAGTCTTATAGTCTCTAAAGTGTCTCTAATACATCGTTTGACAGTCCTTTATTGTTTAGGACGGCCTCGCCTCTTCTGGCTCTTCGTCGAAGTCTGGCTCATCCCCTGGGTCACTCTCTTCTTCGCATTCTTCCTCATCTTCGCTATCGGGTCTGGGACGTCTTTGTTTTTTCTTCATCTTCACCTCTGGCATATCTTCGGTCTCCTCCTAAGCTGATGGGACTTGGGCATATTACAGGGCACTTCATCATACAACTAGCTGGACTATTTCTTCCGTTTCGTCACCCACATGCCTCAAAAATGTCCGAAAAGAACATTAAACAAGGCAAGTTGCCCGGTCAAGCTCGGGCATTTCGACTTCAGCCATATCGACAGTCGCCTCTGCTTCTTTCACCTCCACGGCTGCCGTGCTGGTCTTGCGCCCGTGCAGGATGGGTTTCTTGCGCTTGATGGGATGGCCATCTCCCTGGATACGACCAGCAGCATCTACAGACAAAGTCACCTGCCACACATAACCTTCGGCACCTCAGGCAGGGACCAGGCAGGGACGAGCCAACGTCCGTCCCAGAAACAGTGAGCAGTTGATCTACACATATTATAACTTATAACCATCAATTGATCTATATATGAATGATCTCAACCTCCAGTGAGAATCCGTGATGCATCGACATGAGAAAAAAAACGTCATGTCCATTCATGTCCTATGTGTTTAATATGCTTCTTTAAGTCTGTGTAATATGATTCACTGTCACTTCTTCACCTCCCACCTGGTGGTGGATCCCCTTCAAAGGTAATCTCCCAGCGCCCCTGCAACACCGAGTCATCCACCGTGGGAAGCCGCTGCTCCGGGGCTTGGAAACAATCCGGGGCGATGGTGCCATCCTCGGGCAACACATAATTTGGGGTTATAGAAGATGCTGAAATATGCTGAATATGTTTGTGCTTGAAGCATTTTCAAGCTGTTAATCTCCAACAAACATGCTATGGCTGGAAAATAATTGGCTTGGGATTTGAATATCACCAGAATGGATGTTTATCTTGTGACTCGACGCTCAGAAAAACCGTGAAAAAAATCACTGAGCCAGACTGCACCAGTTGGACCAGGCATCTTTCCAGACAAAGATCTCGCATCCCACGAAGGACTCCGAGGCCTCAGGACCTGCTTGGGTTCCAGTGCCGCCCACCACCTGCTCGTAGCTGTCAGCATCTCCAGGCGCGCGGCTCAAAGATACCAAGGTCAAACGGTCCGAGGGCTGCTCCGTCTTGCCACTTTGGTTCACCTCAGTCGAGAACTTAATGAAGTACGGAGACATGTTTATAGACTTGTTATATCTTTTTAGACTTTTTATAGATATACTTTACATATACTTTTTATAGACTTTTTCGATCTTTTTAGGTCATACAGAGAAATGAAATGTAATGAACCCATTGTTGTTGGATGTGCTGAGCTTTCGGTTCGGTGAAAACGCTTCTGGTCAGACTTGTTTCAAGCATCATGGTCCCTGGTGCTGGCTGCTGCCCTCCCATGAGTTCCGCTGCTTGCAGTAGTGATGGTGAGAAAGCGTCCATGTTTGGGGTTCAAGTATCTAATTCAATTTTGAGGTCAACCAGGAGGTGAAATATCACACGCACACACACACAAGTATGGGTCTGACTTGCCACCGGTTTTGGCAGTCATTTGTACGTGGAACCATGACTTGGGTATATCCCTCGTTTGGTGAGGGTAGCAGCTTCGAGCATCAGCTGACCTCACCAACCGACGTTACATTTTTGTAAGGAAATGACAACTAGCTGCTGGTGATGGACAGGTTCCAAGGAATAGCGACAGAGAGGACTCATGTGGCTCGAAAACAGGAAAAAACATTGTGCAAAACCATAAAACAAAATGGACACGGTCTCAAGATCAAAGTTGAGTCACAGGCTTCTTGGTAATGCCAGTGATGGACACAACGCCATCGGTCACCTTCGTCTTGAGTCCAGCAATCATGTTGCCTGCGGTCATCAGAGTCATCAGAAGTTCAGCTGCACAGCATCCAGATCTTGGTGAATTGATCTTCAGAATCACTTGGACAATCGATCTTCAGGCACATATTTGTTTGACTCACCTTCGGAAATCCTCTTCGGAACAGCCACTATGGTGCTTTTGGCCACTTTTTGAAAAAAAAAAAACGCGTTGGCAACCATACTGAGTGTTTCCCTCAGAAATGTTACCAATAATGGAAAAGTAGATTATTAGGACCAATGCTTTTAGGTCCCAACAACCTAGTTTTCATTAGTTTTCCTTTCATATGGTCCTATCAGTATGGGAATAGCGATAGAGAAACCAAACTGGCGCCGGTCTAACACCTCCATATAGTCCTAAGTCCTATCACAAACAGGTTTCTCTGGGCTTGCGATAAACATGGGTAGCAGAGTTGCAGCATGAGCCACTCTTGCCTCGACCTGCAGACCAATTCTTTCTGGTCAGATCATCTGAATCCAAATACTCCATCTCATCTCCTTGGTTGGCCAATCCGATGCCAATCTGCAAGGGGTATCCAGCTGTTTTGGTACCATAAAATTGTCAACACGCGGCATGGCCATAACAGCACCAAGGTGCCTTCAAAGGTCTCGGAGGTCCTTCCCTGAGTGGTCTTGAAGACGAGGGAATAGACACCAACTCCCTCCACCTCAGTTGGGCATGGCTTCCAGCAATCCCACAACACCCGGGAGGAATCCCGGTAGAAAATACTGCAAACCCAAACATCAGTCAACCATAATTTCTGACTTGGATTGGTATATGTCAAACTTGGACACCCACAAGCATGGCTTAATTCTGAAAGAAATCTCGTTCAACAGCTAATTTCTGCCTGCTTTTGCACCCTGTCGGTGGATATCCCTAGATTCCCTAGATTGTTCCCAACCTTGGGTGTCTTTGCTTAGAGATGGGCTCAACTATCATTTCTGGATGACAACGTCATTTTATCTCCTAAACATTGGATTAATATGGATTAATCGTGATCAACAACCCGATTCTTGTGGGTTGACAGTTGACATCTTAAATGCTGATCATGACTTTTGCCACCATTACTATTACTAGTAGTTACCATTACACTATAGTGAAACCCATCAACAGACAACAACTTTGCACTGCTCATCTCAAGCCACACTCTTCACAGTGACGTCCGTAATGTTCTCACCGGGCTCCAGCTTAAACTCGTGGGTGTAGGCCTTCTGATCGCCCTTCTCCTGCACGCGTTGCAAAGCAAAAAGGGTCAGCAGCGGCCAGTTCAAGCAAGCATGGTTTTCAATTGATCCATTTTTTTACCTGGAAAAATTGTTGTATCGCTCATCATGCGTGTTAGTTTACACGGATTTTGCAACAGCCATCAACGCACCCAAAAAATGTGCATCCCCTGCCTTGCCCGCATACACGAAGTAGACATCCGCAATGGCATAGTGAATGTTAACCCTCACCACGGACACTGCACCACCGCCAGGCTCACTCTGAGGCAAGCTTGGACAGCAGAAAGACATCGTCAATCCGTAGATGTTCAGTTTTTTGTTGGATCCTGAGAGCAATGGCAGCAGGATCTCACGCCTCCAATCCCTCAAATCCAACCATCAACACACCAGGGAACAACTTGCGCTCCTCCGTTGGGCGGCAACTGAAGCTTTGTCACCTGAACGAAGCTGCGCTTATCCACCTGAAGGAAGCCCTTACCTCCTGGCCGAGGATATCCGACGGTCACCATTGGCACATCAAAAATGCATTCGAAAAATGCTCAATCGATGCTTCTATCTGGGGGAGGGTCATCCATCCTTGATCAGGATTCCTTGTCATGGGCGAGTGATATAGGTACATAGACCCCAGGCAATGAGCTCCTCTGACCACCCCCTGATTTGGGATAAGCAAATCATTTCAGGGTTACGATTTGTCCAGCATCATCTTGAACGACTGACTACATCTCATTGAAAGTTGCACCACTACTCCCATGTCATCCAGCACGAATCTACTCACCCACTGCTGCAGTCCTTCCACGGAGACAGGTTCCACAAAGCCGAAGGCAAAGCAGTCCTGGTGGAATCACTGAACCGTTTGCCATGATCAGTTTGGGCACAAAGGTGTCTCATGAAGTTCCAATTCCTTGTGGATTTTCCCACCTCATTGTGAAGATCCAGGACTATACGTATAATTATCATTAAGCATGAAATGGTTTTCCAAGCCACGGATCTTGAATGTCCCCCATCCACCCATCCCACCTTAGGCAGGTAGTCCATCTGAAAGTCGAAATCCGCAGTGGTAGCACCACCGCAGCTGACGTTGGCGTAGGTGTAGAGTGGATTTGCTCCGTGTTGCTCTTCGATGGCGATCTGCATCTCTTCCTGCAGATCACATGGAAAATGCAAAGCACATGGGTCCCGATGGATACAGTAATTTTCAAAAAAAAGTTGTGTTCCCGTCGCAAAAATAGCACCAAGTGTTGGACATCCCAGGGCCATAACATTCTCCCTGGCTCCTCTTCCACCGCGATGTGCTCCTTCTCCTTTTCTTCTTCCAACTTACGACGGGCAATGCGATCCTCAGCCATAGGAGATGCTGATGAGGAGCCTATACTGCTTCCGAAAAGAGCTCCACCAGTCCCAAATTTGCAAGAGAAGGTTGGAAATGTTGCCTTACAATGCCTGGAGCATCCGTGACAGTAGGAGTCTGGAAAGCAATCACAAGTGAAATGTATGTATACACACAGCATAAAATCCTAACTAAGTCACCTGAAGACGGTTGGAGATGGTGTCCCTCTCACCTGGACGAGCGGCTTTAATGTTGGGATAGGGCGGAACCAAAGACTGTCTGTCGATGTTTAAAGAATACTCAAAGAAACACCATGGGCTGTCGATGTCAAGAGCATCCAATTTGCCAACTCGGCAACCGGGTTTTTCCATGCCAAACAGCCAAACGGGTGGACACCAAAACGACCGGTCGAGCCTTGTGACAGTTCCGGCTTGCGGGATATCTCACGTTTCATGGATGGCGGACGGCCCACAGTCAAAGCATTGCCTCAGTGCCAGTGATGTTCCAGGACTTCCCATTGCTCCTATAACCAGTTCAGTGATTAAATGGCATTAATTGGTCAAGATCTGTTAAGATTCAGATCCATGGTTGGAAGCCTATTGGTAGACTTGCTAACCATGGTTATCGCACCTCAGGTCAGCACGAGAATCAGACGTTGCACGCGTCAGCGCCGGTGGCACACCAAGGTTCCCAGGAGCATCACCAGTGGAGCCTCGGCTCCATATAGAATCTGGGAACTTCTCTTCGTGGTTGGCACAGAAATCTGATGATGATGATGATGGTGATGATGATGATGATGATGATGATGCTGATGATGCTGATGATGATGATGATGATGCTGATGATGATGCTGATGATGATGATGATGATGATGTCACCACGTCATTCTTCTGTTTGCCCGGTGACGTCGAAAAAGTTACAGCCAATGGATCCAATCACAGTCATCCCCAAGACCGGCCCGCAGCCGAGAGACCCGAGACAGCACGATCCAGTGCAGGTGGACCGGGCACTCCCAGGGAGATTTGCTTCTCACCAAGCTCGGTGACAATAGCATGATCGCCACCCATAAAGCCGTCCTTGACATCGAAAGACAACTGCTTGTGGAAGCAGAATGTGGAGTTTCTGACGGGTTTGAGGTTGGTGGGGTGTTCAAGACTCGTGGGCAAAGATCTCATCACAAAACGGTGCAGAATAAGACACCAGGGACCCCTATGTCAACGACATGGAGCGCAGAAAAGGCCAAGTCTCAACTTTGTGCTTCACAAAGCTGAAGAATTCTCGGTAAGAGACGACGTGATCTCCCGATTCATCCATTGCCTGTTAGGTTTCAGCAGTGGCTTCAGGACCCAAGATTTCAAACGCCAAACGAACAGCGATCCATGACCAGGCTGCTAAAACAAACAGAAAGTGTGAAACGGGGCTGTTTTAAGCATTGGTAATCCCCTTATATGAAGTCCAACATATCCATACCCGAAATAAATGGGCCACATCAGTTGGCACAAAGCTTGCATGCTTCTCAACTACAGATCCGTCACCATCAACTTGCTATTAACCCATCCAGCTGCCATCTCCCAGCGCCCGTACCTCCAACCAGTCCAAGATCTCATCTGGTGAAGTATGAAATCCCAAATGCCTCAAAGCCTGACAAATCTCGATGGGTCCCAGGAAGCCTCGGAACTGAAAGAATCACCTGCAATCTGCCCCCTTTCTGCTCTGAATCGGTATGCAGCTCAAATGCAATGGTCAAATGATGTCAAATGTTTCAGGCAAGAAGCCCACTTGCTGCAAATCAAAGCGTTCAAAGGCTTCTTGCACACCTGAAGTCTGGAAGAACGGCAAGTCACTGTCAACACGACTGAGCGAGTCTGTGTACCCATGTTGGATCGGGGCTGAAACACCTTTCCCCACTTTAGTGACTTTGCAATTTGTTGTTGCCTTTTCGAAGGCTAGTAACTGCTGTTTCAACATGTATCAACAAGGGTAAGCAACACGAGAATCTTTACAGCTCACAAGCATTGAAACATCCCGACGTTCTTTCTCGTCTTCGCTCCAAGCACGCGACTTCCAAAGAATGTCGCAAAACCTTCTCCAAATCTTCCAAAAGCCTTCTCTAAATCTTCCAAGTCACCTAAGCCTTTGCCGGAGATGGTTTCTCTGAGTCGCACCGCCCTGATACGTTGCACCATGATCTCAAACTCCGAGGGCACCGTCAGCGCCACCGCGATGGGCCGCTCTGCCCAGTCCCCCACGGCACGGCGCCGGCAGCCACCAATCTGCTCGAAGAAACGCCGCCGTGCGAAGGGCGTCTCGTGTTGCAAACCACGGAGCAAGGCGGTCAGCTCCTGGAAAACATTCCCAGATGGTTTAATCCAGAAATGTCCAGAATATATTGGGTAGTATCCCCCCCCAAAGAACCGATGAATGGGGGTTTTGAACACTCATATCATTGATTTGTCACTGACTTATATCATGCTGCCCCCAGCTATCGTGAGAGTGAGCAGTTTCGAACATGTTATGCATGCGTTTCAACCAGAACAACAAGGAGGATTACGGAAGAACATTCTCCACATCTCCACATTCTGCACTGCCAAAATCCGCCAGTTCCAGCCCATCTCCAACTCCAGCCTCATCCTTATAAAAGACCTGTGTGTCAAAGTAACGACACAGCTGCATGGCCCTCAAAGTCTGATACGTCGCTCCCTCTTCAAAGCCCACGGAACGATCCAGCACGCTGAAGCCTGCAGAACAACTTGGGAACCCATGAAGTTAAAATGCTTTCACAGGAAGCAGCGGCTTGAGCCAGAATCGCAGTTCTTAGAGTTCAAATCAATTTCTCAACATCTAAGCTTTAAGTCCCTGGAAGAGTGCCTGAGGTCAAAGATCGGAGCCCAATGGAGGTATTGGCTGGTGCCAAAGGAGGCCCATGGGGCAACCTCACAAGTCAGGGATTTGCAGGGGTGGGGTGACCAGTTTCCAAATCAACCAAACCTAAAAGAACACCAGACACACATCCAAGTCAATTTTGGATCGATAGGTTTTCTGAGACTTCAGAGATATATTGAATCATGAGATTTCGCGGCACCAACACCACCACACACAAGTTGCTGGTTTCTCCGCGCTAGAACCTGTCCATGCTATTAGACCTGTGCAGCTACCAACATCAATCAGTCACAAGTCCCAGGTTTGCCGGTGCCACAGCATAAGTGATCTCAACTGTGACGATAGAGAAAAGAAGCAAACCAGGTTTCAGTTGTATGACTTCTTTGCTACACTTACCCACCCGACCCTGCAACCCAGCCGCTTGCAATGCAGGATCCTTCGCAAGGTCTCACCTTCTGCCAGGCTCAAGGCCACAAAGTAACGGCCACGGTCCTGTCAGGGGATCCGATCTGCTGGTCCACCAAGGTCCAGCGATGTCCGTCCACACGGCCTGGGGTCGGAAATGGGAATGGAGCAGCAACTTCACCATGTCCTGTGGCCCGGGACTTGGGGATGGGATCTGGATGGAGACCTTCCTGATGTTGACCCATACCCATATTATCCCATATTGCCATATCACTCGGATCTCTCTTTCTTTTTCAAATGCGAGATGTTGAACACTTAAGAGATGTTTTGAACTACTTTCTGACTCCCTTGATCGGAATGAATTTTCAATCTCCAGTTTTGGTTGCCAAAGAGAGCATGTGAGCCTCGAGGCCAATGCCGGCTGGTGATCCACCCTGAGGGCACTTGAATAGACCATTGCAGACGCCCCAAAAATCATAGAGAACATTGTCTAGCAATGGCCCAACTGTCATTTATTGTATCTTTTGGTGATGTGTTAATCCCAACTGTTGATGTGTTTAGCATTCTTCCGGCTGAGGACCCAGCAATTAGCGACAAGGCGGTCTTGGGATCATGGAGCGCAGTATCTCCTGCTGCAATGCATGTGATGCATGCGACAGCTTAAATGTTCCCAAAACTGTCTGCCATCTCGCCACAAAACACAGCTGTTCATTTCCAAATGTCCTTGGTCAAAGAGGAGGCGCAAGAGTGTTTGCACTCGATCCTGGTTCAACTGACCTGACGCAGAGGTGCGCTTCTTGGGAGGTCCGGTCTTCAAAGGAGCAACTAGCTCAGCAAAGAAACTCTTGCCCAGAAGCTTGAGATGTTTCTTAAATCAAAGGATACGCTTACTTGCCTCATTTCATTGTCATTTACATTACAGTACATCCCAGTTTTGGGGGCGCCGAAAGTCACTTACAGCGATCTGTCCGCAGCACTGCAGCCTTTCCAAAATGCCGCAGCAGTCATGCCCGCACCTCGCGCCTCCAGTCCCTTGCACGTTGCCTTCAGCTGTGAAGAGATCCAAGGCCCTTCGGCAACACTTGCGCATGAGACCATCCTCTGTTTCCTGCGACAAGACCATGGAGTGTGTCTCACCCAGCTTGATGAACTCCCGTGCTTCACCAATACTTTGTTCGCAATGTCAATCGTCCAGCATCACATTGTGAAACTCCGTACTCCGTACACTTCATTCTTGCGCAACATTAGGGGGCTGGTTTCAAAATCGCCCATGAATTGTTTCGAGGAACGGAAAGCTGCAAGACATCAGTCAACCGCTCTGCAGGACATCCCCCTGGCAGCCATTCCATGACCTTCGGCGGAGTGAAAACACTGGGCAAACCTGAAAAATTGGGGGGAAGGCCTGAATTTTTTGATGCATTCCGACACCTCAACATTGCCTTGAATACGTCAGCACAACAAAACACACTAAGATAAGACAACGTGGTCAAATCTGGCCCTGTGATGTATCATGAGTACTCCATAAGCATCCATAAGCTGGTTTCTGGCATGAAGTAAACTTGAATTGAAAGCCTGCATTGATATGCGAGGAAGCAAACGTTGCAGGTGTGGAAGATCGCAAACCCCTAAACTAGATCCCGCAAAATTAGTCCCGCACAATTTGATGTGTGATCATCATGTTTCCCTTTAAACTTGCGATTTGAGGGTATGCTCCATTTTCAGACAAACCTATATCTTGATGTTTCCTGTGAAGGGAGTCATTCTCTTTGACATCAAGCTGCCACGCAAGTATTCTTCAAGCGCCGGAAGCCGGACCACTTGGGGTTGTAGTAGTTCTCAGACAGCAGCCTTGAGCAAGGCATTGGTTTAAGGAAAAATTGGAAACATTTAGAGGAAACCATGGCAGTTCTTTTCCACCAGTTCTGGGGGGTTCCTGTAAGATTTCCCTTCATCCAATTCTGCGGCGAAAAATGCAGAAACACAGGACCACGAACAAAGGGGCAAAACGGTGCCAGCTGAGGGAAAAAAAATGGTTGGTCTGTGGTTGCAAGTGGAATGGGGCCCGCACCAATCACCCAATATTGTTTTCATTATCATTATTTTTATTTTGACGACGACTAGTACTGCTACTGCTCCTGCTCCTGCTCGTGCTGCTGCTGTTCCTGCTGCTACTGCTGCTACTGCTGCTGCTACTACTAGTACTACTAGTACTACTAGTACTACTAGTACTACTAGTACCACTACTACTACTACTACTACTAGTACTACTAGTACTACTTGTTCTTCTTCTTGTTGTTGTTGTTGCTGTTGCTGTTGCTGTTGTTGCTGCTGTTGTTGTTGTCGTGGTGGTGGTATGCACAAGTATTTTTGTATCATTGTGTTTATCATTACTAGCATTATAACTATTGTTGTTATCATAATCACTTAAATCAATTAGATGTAGTTTTTCTTCTATTCTTGTTATTGCATGTTTATGTACATAGAATGTACTGCTCCCTGTGGAGATATCCAGCTTGCAACACCGCAACATCCCTGCCTCACCCTGTTCCACCAAGCTACAGATCCTTGGGCAACGTATCCAAACACCTACCTTTGAAGAGTCGGAACTGACACGCTTGGTAGAACTGTGGCGGGCTATCGTCCTGGAGCACAGGAGCACGGTCGCTCTTATGGGATGGTATCAGACCCTGGGAACCACATGTAATGGTGACCTTTTCGTAGCATCGCATTTTGGAGGTTCCCAACTCCAGGTCATCTCTCCTTCAAGGACTCGAAGGGCCAGCTGTTGGGCTCTTCACTGTCGCGGCAGTACATCAAATCCACAAATTTCTCGATTTCTATCCTTGGTCCATTCGAGTGCAAACAGGCACAATCAGGATGAATTCCATGAAATCCCATATCAGAATATATCGGACAGGCAGCTGCTGCTCTCGCTCTTCCTCCTCTTCTTCTTCCATCTCTCGCTCTGCCTGTGATCGAGACAACAATAGTATATATTATATTATAGAACATGTACATAATTATATAGTTATAATTGTAACAAATATGTACGTGTGTTAGCTTTACTAGTATTATTATATCATTATTAGTGTTATCATTACTATAATTGTTATTATCACTAGTTACTACTCTTATTTATATTGTTGTTGTTATTATTGTTATTATTACTTTGTGTTTGTTGTCGTTGTCGTTGTCGTTGTCGTCGATGTCGACGTTGTCGTCGTTGTCGTCGTTGACGTCGTCGTTGTCGTTGTCGTTGTCGTTGTCGTTGTCGTTGTCGTTGTTGTTGTCGTTGTTGTTGTTGGTTGTTGTTGGTTGTTGTTGTTGTTGTTGTTGTGGTTGTTGTTGTTGTTGGTTGTTGTTGGTTGTTGTTGGTTGTTGTTGGTTGTTGTTGGTTGTTGTTGGTTGTTGTTGGTTGTTGTTGGTTGTTGTTGTTGTTGTTGATTGTTGTTGATTGTTGTTGATTGTTGTTCTTGTTGTTCTTGTTGTTCTTGTTGTTCTTGTTGTTCTTGTTGTTCTTGTTGTTCTTGTTGTTCTTGTTGTTCTTGTTGTTCTTGTTGTTCTTGTTGTTCTTGTTGTTCTTGTTGTTCTTGTTGTTCTTGTTGTTATTGTTGTTCTTGTTGTTCTTGTTGTTCTTGTTGTTCTTGTTGTTCTTGTTGTTCTTGTTGTTCTTGTTGTTCTTGTTGTTCTTGTTGTTCTTGTTGTTCTTGTTGTTCTTGTTGTTCTTGTTGTTCTTGTTGTTCTTGTTGTTCTTGGTGTTCTTGTTGTTCTTGTTGTTCTTGTTGTTGTTGGTTGGTTGTGGTGTGGTTGTGGTTGTGGTTGTGTTGTGGTTGTGGTTGTGTTGTGGTTGTTGTTGTTGTTGTTGTTGTGGTTGTTGTGGTTGTTGTGGTTGTTGTGGTTGTTGTGGTTGTTGTGGTTGTTGTGGTTGTTGTGGTTGTTGTGGTTGTTGTGGTTGTTGTGGTTGTTGTGGTTGTTGTGGTTGTTGTGGTTGTTGTGGTTGTTGTGGTTGTTGTGGTTGTTGTGGTTGTTGTGGTTGGTGTGGTTGGTGTGGGTGTGGTTGGTGTGGTTGGTGTGGTTGGTGTGGTTGTTGTGGTTGTTGTGGTTGTTGTGGTTGTTGTGGTTGTTGTGGTTGTTGTGGTTGTTGTGGTTGTTGTTGTTGTTGTTGTTGTTGTTGTTGTTGTGGTTGTGGTTGTGGTTGTGGTTGTTGTTGTTATTGTTGTTGTTGTTATAACATTATACCTGAGTCAGTGGTGCCGGGGTGCCCCTGCCATCGGTTTCACAGGTCCACCGGGAGCCCACGCGGCCTCAGCCTCGCGTTCCGCTTCTGCTTCTAAGGTCTGCTCCCCAACTTCCATTCCTTGAACTTCCAAAACGTTTTTGATGACCTGACAGCTGTGACTCCGAAACTGACAGCTGTGGTCTAACCTCCAGCCTGTTTGTTTCAACAAGACACCTTGAAAACAACAGCAACTTTGGCGAGCCACCCCTTACAGTTGTTGGTCGAAAGGGAAATCAAAAGCTATCAAAAGCATCCATCTTCATAAATCCCCCAAGATCCCCCCAAGCCAATATAGTCCAACCCCGCACCCATCCTCCGGAGTATTTCCATTCTTTGCCCACCCAATTTCCCACCATTTGCAGAAGGCACCCACTCCACGGCAGTGCGGTCTTCATCGGTCAAGATGTACTTCGTGTATTCCTCCGCGCGGCCCTGAACGATCTGCAGCAAGCCGCGCGGCACCGGCACCTTGTCCAAGACCTTGAAATCAATGGGCTCCTTGAAGACCTCACAAAAAAGGCCCACGCTTGCCGCGGTTGCCACGCTTGGTCTGAAAATGGGGGACACCAAAAAACGGTTTCAGAGGTGTTTGGCAAAGCTCAGATTCTGATATAAATGTCAAGTTTGATGATTTTTTGGGGATACCGGGCATACCGGGCATACCGGGCATACCTCCTTTTGGACAAACACACCAAGGCCAAGGACCCGAAAAACATTCGTTCAAGTGGCACTTAGCGGACGTAAAGCCCTCTTTGCTTCAAGTGGTACTGATCTCTCACTGGCGACAAGTGAATATCAAATCAAACCTATAAACTGGGGCTGACAATGGCTGCATGGCTGATGTCTTACCCAAATGCACTATGTTGAGGGGAAGTTTTGGGGCGGTTCCACCTTTCGACCCATACCGGAACCTAATCAGTCGAATATGTTTGAAAAGAAAAGCACAGCTGTCCCAGAGTCCCACACCTCAATGCAGTCCACAATTTCCGGCAGTTGCAACAGGGCGTACTTTTCCATCAGGGTATTCCACGCGTTCTTGCGCCAAATGTTGGACAAATTCTGGGTCTGGAGCACGTTGAACTGCAAGCGGTCAGATAACATGCTATTTAGCACCAGCCAACCACAGACATCTCCCAACATGGACTTGTCAGTGCAAGGTGTGGTCGAGTTAGCTTGCATCATATTCTTGCTGATCAGCTCACGCACTTCCTGGGGTGAGGTGCGGCTGGTTGGGCCAAGGATGCCAAGGTCACATTTGGATGCACTTAGAGGGGATCTTAAACATCACCTTCATTTGGTGTCTGGAAATAATCCCCGCCAAACTGGGACGATGTTGAAATCAGACATTTCAGCGTCTCCTTGATAGCCCATGTGCAAGAAAAAGCTGGTTTGCAACTGTAACTTCCAAACATCCTACACAGCAGAAAAGGTGTGGCAAACTCACACAAGCTCTTCCAATGATGCAAATATGACCAACCAAAACTGCTTTGCAGAACAGTTTCGGGGATGATGAGAATGCGCAACTTCTGACCCTTTCCAATACCGCGCAAACGGTAGGCACCCTGCGCATAATCACGGAAGACCATGTCTTTGCCAAGGGTGATGGCTCCCACACAATCGCGCTTGTGCCTTACATGGGCTGTCTCAAAAATGGGGTAATTACCCAAATTTGATGGTTCATCACAAATTTCCCCATTACAATAGCCATTTTGGGGGTAAAACACCTACAGTAGACAACCACCAGCACCTCAGCCACCAGGGTCCCCCTGTGCCATGTTGCTGGATGTCCATACCCGTGGTGTGCACTTGGTCGTAGAATGCGAAGCGATGGATGGCTGGAATACCGCAATCTGCTAGGTTCAACACTTCCTCCGGCGACAAGGATGTCTGCAGTTGAGAATGCAAAATCGTTGTACTGTGCAAAGATTGAAGGATGTCTCCATCTGAAAGTAACAACACGAATGTGAGGACGTCAAATTCTCAATAAACTTGTCGTTTCAGGAAATCGTCCAATGTGAAACTCATTTGAATCCAACAGCCGCGCAATCGCTCCTGGGTCTGTCGCAACAAGATCTTCTTCGAGCCATCCTCATCAATGAAGACCACTCCATGGAAACTGCTAGGCAACGTAGGGTGCGGATCAGCGTTGTCAAGACCTCATCGGCTCAACGTCACACCCCGGTTCAGTATTAGTCCAATCACAAACTGACAGGGATGACATAGTGTGTGTGTGTGATATGTATACATTGCCATGTACTATATCATATTAAAGCATATTAAAGCCTTATAGACAAATACAAATAGACGTCAAATAATGGTATATAGAGAGAAGGCGTATCGTCTAGAAACTCTAATATGGGATGGATGATGAATGCATGATGCTTGCACATCTGCGTGCTGCCAACAAAGTCTGATGAAGTGATCTCAAAACTGCTCTATCACCAGAAACTACAGGCTCTCTAAACTTTCAGGAACCTTCCCAGTTTGAGGTCTGGGCCAAGCAAATACACCGCCACCTCCTTGTTGGAAAGTCCAGTAATCAAAGCTCCTGTGTCGATCAAGGCATGGAATCCGCCCACGGCAATGCGATCCAGGAGCCCTGTGACCGTCCAATCTGCGTCGAAGACTTCGAAGGAAATCACCGAGGGATTCGTCAAGGTATGGACGATGCTGCCTTCGCTGCCAGGCTCGAAATCACAGGAACCCAACTCGCGGGGCATCAAATCCGAAGGCGTTCCACTGAAGCCGATGCGTTCCTTGAACAACAAGGCACCACCCAAATCTTGGCCTCGGTATTCTCGGTATTCTCGGTATCGGGAAAATGCTTTCAGAAGGTCTATGCTTTCAAGCCCAACAAAATTATGGAGTAATCATCCAAATCACAAAGACCATACAGATCTCTCTCATGACCCCACATCACCTCAGCCAAAGTGACCCGAAGACATCAATTTCACCTCCTGGAAGCGTAGATGTTCAGGGAAGATGATGGACTCCAAGTACCAGGCCACCACCTGCAGCTGCTTCGCTGTTTTTATTTTTGTGGCCTGAAACCATCAAATCATATCAAATCTATCGGATCCATGTTTCAAGATGCCAATCACAAATATGTTTGGATTGGATCAATTGGATTTCTATAGATTTTTGCTAGTCACCCCATTGTTGCTAGTCACATAAGAATTCCAAGTCATATCTCATGGTTTGCCAACAGATTTGTGCTCCACAGCCAGCTCTTCTGGATGCCACCAGCAAGGACCTGTCCGTTCTTCCGCAGCAGTTTGAAGAGCTCATGCATCTGTCGTCGATTGCTTCGCTCCAACATGTGCAGGGGCAGAATGCGCACCTGCAACAGGGCAGCAAATCATAGCAAATCAGTACATTCAAATGATTCAAATGCATTCAACAGGTTTCAAACATACTTCACCGGGCAACAATTTCAACCCAGCCAATAAACTAGGTACTGTAGTATATCATAGTATGTATAACCCCTATAATCAATCAACAATGATGTTCTGAATGGTGGCTCTTTTTTTTTCCAGACCCAGGTGCTCAGAAATTGGGCTGCCGCCTTCTTCTCTCGCACTTCCGCGGCCCTTGCGGCCGCCAGCTCTTCTGGAGATAGGTCTTGGAGCTCCTGACGACGCGTCGCCAAGACGCCACCACTGCCTGCAACTGGGAAATTGAGCAAGGCGGAATGGAACGATGAGGCGGCTTGGAAATTCAATGGATTCAAGAGCCAAAATTCCTTTTCCACCGCAACACAGCCCAAAGAGGGTACATTGCTTTCGTATGTAGCCATTGTCACAACCCACATGCCTTCAACCCAGCGTTTGAAGAGCATCGCAGTCGGCCGTTCAGCCGCCACTCCAGGTTCAGACTCCAGATTTGCGACCAACAAGTCCAACACTGCCTGAGAGAATAGCAACATCTCCAAAGTTTGCAGCCATCTCAAAGCTAAGATCCAAACGAAGATGCTTTAAGAAAGTTGTCCAAGGGTCTTTGTAGGGAAACAAGAATCAGAAATCTTGGGAGTCCAGCAGACAATGGACAAGATGTGTTGCGAAACTTGATCACCAACAAAGCGTGTCAACTTCACCAACTCCCCATGCGGCACAACCGGAGATCCCTGGAGCATCCCCACTGTGCTTGGCCTCGAAGTCTGACATGCGCAGCCCTTCATAACGCAAGCTCAACAATGTGAGGCCAATGGTGATATCCTCCGCTGAAACATGCTGAAACTCTGTCATTTGGAGAGAAACATGCATCATCAAAAAGGGGAGGATCCCAACTTCCTCTCCAAATCTGTAACTTTAACCCGAAAGGATTCCCACAAAAATTGGACGCATGCAAAACTTCAACGAACTTCAGCGGCCAGTGACCGGATGAGCAAACTCTGAGGACGGCGACGGCACATCCTTTCCAATGAAGGGAATGGACAGCTTGGCGCGGGTCATTGGCATGCCCGGCTGCCGGATCAAAGCCTGCTCCACCTGGGGATCCGTCATGACGCCATAGGTCACACCTTTGGGCCAGGAGGAGAAACTGAAGAAAGCCATGAGAATTCTCTGCCAAATGTCTTGAAAATGAATGCGATGTGCGGCCGAGAATCGGTTGATTTTCTGAAGGACATGGGGTAAGAAAATGGAGAGCCAATCAGCTGAGAGGTTCAGCATTTGGACGTCACCTCGGGTCAGTGATCAATGTGTGAGCATCAGTAGCAAGGAAAAGAACGGGATCAAGCAATTTGCAGGGCAAGTGGCGCTTGGGCAGCATGGCAACCCTCTGGGCCAAGGGAGAATCCGGTGCTGCCACTTTGGTAATGTACTCACGCACCTGTCACAACAAGATCTTGAGCACCAAAACCATCGGGTACTTGGATGATCATCCAAGTTGCTCACGTTTCGTCTGAAAGGTTTCCTAACTGAATAACTCTTCAGAGGCCCTCTATAATTTTCTCATAACCATTTTTACCACCCAGCACCCACCTGCTCCCGCTACCAGGTTGCCCCACCTCAGCATCACTCAGGCCCCCATCGATGATGCCCTCGCGCTCGTGGGCAAAGCTGCGACCCACGTGCTCGGAGGCCAACCACAAAGTCATCCAAGAAACCATGACTTCCTTCAACCTCATGGCTTTGCCAGGGTGGAATGGGTGGAATGGGTGGAATGAAGTTGGCTCTCAATCGGCAAGAAACATGAAAAGCATCATCTCAAACATCGTGCGATGCTACGAACGGATTCTCAACGCACTTTTTGTATAAGGTCTAGGAGTCTAGGAGTGCGCAAAAGCACTTTGAAAACAACCGGGATCCTTCCCGGGAAGGCCATCCAGTGCATCTTGCCAAAAGCTGTGTCTTCACCACATGCCATCCCCAATCATAAAATCAAGCCACCTCTCATCATAAAATTCCAAGTTCAGCAGCACCAAGTGAGGCGATCGTTGCATCTTCAATTCTTTGGTGCCATCCGCAATGGTCTTTGCGATTTTCTTCAGGATATCCTTGGCCAGGGCACTGTCCGCAAAGCGCTCCGGTGGCGTCAACTCCCCGGTCTTGCCAGATTGCAACTCACCTTGGACGTCGAGAAACGTCCCCTGGATTCAGTGTTCATTTGTCCCTGAGAATTGCTCCGAAAAAATTGGCTAAGGTCCTTAGTCTCCTGGAGGTTTTCACAGAAGTGGATAACAGTGATACCTGGCGATAACACTGATACTTTACTCAGTGGTCAAGCTTTTATCAGCGAGCAGCTAATGAAAATGCCTTCCAGCAAATGCAAGGGAATCTGCCAACGATGTGGTGCGAAGTCAATTAAGTTCTTGGGGCCGATTGGGAAGTTCAGCTCAGACCTGGAGACAGCCCCTGACACCACTGGGAATTCTCAGCCCTCCAAACTAACTAACTCAGCACGTGAGAACCCAGAAACCCAAATTCAGGCTTCTCTTTGGATCTTTTTCATGTTTTTTGCACAAGACAAATTACATGTGGATCATGTGGGACAATTTCTCCCCATGTTCGCAACTCTCACCTTCACCCATCAATCAGCCCCACCTCAAGGGGTGCAAAACCAGATCGACCTCATCGATCATGCAAACACCTTTGGAAAAGATCTCCAGGACCTTTCCCAATTCGGTGGTTTCCTTCTGCAGCGCCGCAGTGTTGCGCTTGGACCTACGGGATGCCAATTTCACAAACTTCAGGATCAAGATCCCAAATATGACCAAACACTCTGGCGTTCACATGGCACGTCCGTATATCAATCATTATCAATCCTTGTCCTTATCAATAGGCTACTTGCCACCCTTAGTTTGACGTTGCCTGCGGTCATTGCAAATGTCCAGGTTTTCCACAAAGCGCAAAATGAGACTCTTCACATCGGTCGGCTTTGTCAGCAAAACGTGACCTGACAGAGGCAGGCTTAACTCTGCAGGCAACAGATTCTCAAATTGCCAGGATTGCAACTGGTACATCTGATGGGCCAACCGGTTTTGAAAGATGTTGAAAGCCTTTGCATGTTTGTTCCCTGCAAAATCTCCGCCTTCATTCCTCACTGACTCGATGCGATCACAAATGGCAATATCCACATCTTCGGAGCGGTCGCAATGGAACAAGCAGACACGCTTCCTCAAAGGTACGGTGGGGTGCAGCCCCTTGCGGCTTTAGAGCTGATCGTGGTACGGGGTCACCCTCTAGGATGAAATTTACTCCTGCCATCATCTTATGCCATTTGGGTATCATGGAAATCTGCAAATGCGTGTATACAGTATGTGTATATATAGACACATATAGTCATATATAGATAGATTACGTATGCGCATGCATTCACATGAGCCATGGTCAATACTCACTATATGGTTGATGGTCATCCCATCCATAATAAGGATCCTTATAATGGTTATTATAAATCCCTATGAACCATTGGATGACTAGCCCCTATTAATGGTTATTAACCATGAGTATTGACCATAGCTCACATCAGTTTGTCAACTCCACTCATCACAGATCCACCACCCTTGTTCTCCAAGTTTCTGGATGATGGAGGAGAACACTGCCATCAGCACCCCGCGACAGAATTCCAGCAATGCGGAGGGCACCACCAGACTCACCAAGCGGGTTCCATCAGCCAGTAACCTCACACTCCAGGTCACCAAGCAACCGGCAAGTCAACAAATTCAACAAAATGAACAAAACATGCAAACGAACACAACCACTGATGCAGTGCAGCTGAAAGTTTGTTTCGGTCCGTTTCTGTCAAGTCAAAAAAAAAGTTCTCTTCAGCGCAGCGGCATTGAGAGCAGAGGGCTCACAACTGTGGTCTTGCCAGCTCCCATGATCATTTGCTTCACACCACTTTCGCCTCCTTCCACGGTTCGTTGGAAGTCCGAGATAATGGCAACCTGTCTCTCGTGCAGCATCTTGTTGTCTGAAAACCTGGCAGGGAACCAGAAACCAGCACGAATGATTAATGGACAGACTCAGAGTCTCTCAACAAAATCCGTTTGAAGTCTCATTCACTTCACTCGTCCATAACGAGCCCGAAAGATACCCCCCCTCTCTTCTCCCGAGAATTCGCAACCGATCAGTCACAAGTCCCAACAAGGGTGGACCACACAAAATTCATAATTGTACACTAGCGTGTATATGTATATGTATCTGTAGACGTATACGTATATGTATGTATATGTATGTATATATATATACGTAACTAAGATACATGTATTGTTGTAAAATGTTGTAAAACATACAGTATCATATATTAATATTATATAAATTATATAATAGATCTATATAGATCCCAACTTCTGCATCTCCAAGACACTCAAAGACCAAGAAGTGCGGGTCGTAGGCCAAGTTGTTTTGCACGTAATGCCTGCGAGCGTCCAAGCGTCGGGCCAAGACTTCACCCTTCTCAGCCAAACCCACCAGCAGGTCGTTGGGCAGCTTGCCCTCCTGCGCCCATATGCTATGGCATCACTGCATGTCACTGGATATCAATGTGAGAACGCAATGGATATCACTGGCATCCAAACCCAGATGCGATGTCGTGCTGTCTTTTGGTCTGGTCATGTTCCCAAAAAGTGTGCAACTGGACTTTATGTACCCTGAAGTTCGTCTAGATTCGTCTAGTCTATCCATCTTAAGGGCATTGCACTTGGCGTTCCACTATGTTCCACTCCTCCTCCACGACAGAGATGGCTTTGGTCAGCATCTTCTGCAGGTCTCGCGCTTCCGCGAGAGATCCGTTGGCCAAGACCACTCGCACCGCCCGCAGCGTGGCATGTGAAGTCAGCTGCAAGATATCTCGAACCTCGTCAGTCGTCAGGTGCAAAATCCCCACAAAATGGGCACGAGTTGCAGGCTGGCAAGTAGTACTCGGCACCAAAAAGACCCTATGCCCTTTGAAGACAAGCTCTTGGTTGCCATGTTTTCACTCTCAATATCCATGGCCCCTTCGTTCAGCCGATATTTCTGGACCCTCATCCCTTGATCCCAGGATCTGCACCTCCTGCTCCGACAGGAAGGGGTTGATGCGTTGCCAATCTTCAGCTGCTGATGAGGAGAGCAGTGATCTGCAGGCCCGTTGCAGCCAAGCTTCTGATTCATGGCCTTAGCAGCTGTAGCTGTACGCGCTCCAAAAACATAACCCACACAGCTGGCAATGGGGTGTCGGGTATGGTGCCAAGGTGCCAGAGATGCGCAGGAGCCAATGTTTCAAACGAGACAAACTGGCATCATGAGCTGCACGAGCACCTCCATTGGAGGCCTTCCCAATGCCTTCCTCTGACCTTGCCAGCCAAGGGTCCCAACGCTCCGGAAAAAGATGCTAGACAAAAAGCAACAAAAAATAACCGTCTACTTCTACTTCTGGTTTATGCCAGGTACGGTGTGGCCTCTGTCCACCTTCCCCATTGCATTCTGAATCCTGCTATCCCAGCTGCAGATCAATGGTGTTGCCACGCTTCAAGACCTCCTTGAACGCCGAGTCCACGAAAGCGGCATCTGCCGCCTTCATGTCCGCGATGCATTTGATGATGTCGCTCAGGGCCTCAAAACACTGCAACAGCAGGGGTGACGTCCTTAACCAAAAGCAAGAAAAATATCGAAAAAAACATAAAACAGCAATCCAAAAGCCATATGAAACATTCTGAAACCGCTTCACGTCTCCGTATTTTCAGATAGTGACCACAAGATTACCACAAGCAAATCACAGAACTGTGCCTGCTGGGCAGCCTGGGCGGCCTCCTTGCTGCCACTGGAGAGTTTGGTGAGTTCCACCTGGCACATTCGGAGCTCCAAAATTCGGTCATCAGTTAAGGATCCTTTAGCTACATAGTTAAGATTAGTTAAGCCCAGGACAACACTGACAAAAAACTCTTTGATATATATATATATCATGTATCCAATTTTTGGATATATAAGTCCCTGTCCCTTCAAATTATTGACTGGTGATGCAAATCGAATCATCCAAACAGATCCAAATCTTCTCACCTCACTCAACTCCTTCACTTTGGGCGCCGGAGTCTTCTTCTGCATCTCTGAGAAACGGAGCATCTCCTCACACCCCGGATCTCACAAAATGGTCGATGTATGTCGATGTGAGAAGGGAATCCAATGGGTCCAATGGGGAGGCGGAGGGTTCCAACATGTTCCAACATGTTCCAACATCCAACAGTTTCACCTGTCACATCCAGCACTGGCGCCACTGCCGAGCGTCAGCTTCCATACGATCCAGCAAGCGACGGGCAACAGTATGTCGAACAGCAGGGTGAGCAGAAATGTCGAAGGGTAGGTTGCCTCCAAAGAAACGCTCTAACGCTCTCTCAAGCTCCAAGGAAAAAAGGAAAGACCATGAAAGACCCATGACAATGTCCAGCTATGTCCAGCTCTTGTGAGCACGTGGTGCATTGTGGGTCAATGACATGCCGATGGTGTGAATCCTGGGCAACCCCTAATAGAATTGATGGATCGCACGTTCATAGCCTCTCGATCAAAGGATTGACTGATTGACCTGCCACCGGGCCTGTGGGTAGGTTGTCCGGCACCTCTCGAATGATGTGCCCGAGATCAATGACCTCCGCACCAGCCATCGTGTAGATTGTGACACCGATTCATTCAAATGGCATTCGGCAACATTGTTAAACTTTTGCGACATCAAAACTCATCATAAAACTCATCAATATCCTTCCATGACTCCCAAGCATGCCGGGAAGATCCAGAATTCATGGCCAAATTCACAGGCTTTCGTGGAGGTTTCACCAAGCCCAGCATGGCCTCCTGCATGGGTTGCTTCGCCAAGGCTTGTAGATCTTGGTCACTGGTGCGCAGCGGGGCATCGCCAGAGATGGCCTGCAGGTCTGCACCAGGTACGGAACCTGGAAGAATCAACTGGTAGGAGGTAGAAATGGATGAAAATGGAGAAAAAACCTATTGAAAACGGAAGTACGTGATACAATGATCAAATGCGAAGATTGGTTGCGACTGTAAGTTTACGAATCACTCGTCCAAAGAAGCGGCAAATGAGTTTCCCGGCACAGTTTCTGCGAAAATCTATAGAGTATTAGTCAAAATTGAAGGCAGACAAGCATGCGCCACGTGTTGATTATCTTTACTATATCTGAGTACCCAATTTTGGTCACGCCCAAGTTTGGTCCATGGCTCCACAAGCTCCATTGACTGCAAGCCTTGAGGGCAGCACTGCCACCCCAGCCCCAGCCAGTGCTCTTTCCACCACCACCGGTAGCAACAGCACCTCAGACGAAGTAACCAATGTGTTGTTTCTTGGCAGCACAGGTAGACTGACCGCACAAAAAAAACATGTTGGGAAATGTGAGTCTCTTTCGCAGATATCCAAAAAGAAGCAATGCAGGGACATCACAATGGCCAGCGGAGGCAAACCCAGGAAATCCCGCAGCTGACCCTGGGCAAACTCAGGTGTGGACTTTGCAGCGCCATGAGAACCCGTTCCCCACATTGCAGGTCCTGACCATTGACATTGGCCGCAAGATCCATCCCCATGTGACGTATAATACCTCTACCTATAAAGCAGTGCCTTGAAATCTCGAAATGATGTACCAAATCCTCCATTTGTACCACACTTGGAGGCTGGGCGGCTATGAAAGGTTTCTGTGCAAATTTGATCACTTACTTTGCTCATCTTTGCTCAACATACCCAGTCCTTGTGTTCTGGAGTCTCGAAAAAAGGCCTCGGCAATTATCCTCTAACATTGTTGACAAGCACTCCGTTGTGCCAACGACTCACGCAACCAGCTACACTAAATCTGAATCTTTGCACTCGCAGTGCTGTGAACCCTGGCCATCCCTGAATCAAACTTAGGACATGCCTTCCCAGATTTTAGTTTTTGTTGGCATTTAAAATCCAGCAACTCCCGCCAATGTCAATCCAATTTAACCTTGCCGGACAGGCTGAACCAAATCATCTCTGATTCAATGGATCTTGGATAGAAATGAGGTTCGTCAACCTCCATGCAGCCCAGCAACGGGCCCAGCGGGAACTCCGCCCGTCGGATGGTCTGGCCGTCCTGAAAACCAGATTTCAACTGCAGCAGAACAAGCTTAAATCGTAATGTTTCGGGGTGGAAGCCAAATTGTAATGCAAGTATTCCACATTCCTGGAAACAGGCTGCTTGCCGCAAACCCAGCCTCAGATTCTCCCAACGATGGCGCGAAGACGAGATGAGGACATAAACCACCTGGGCCCATGAAAAACGGCCGCAGGGCCATGTGAAACGCTGTGCACCACAGGATCTCCCAGGGCTCCCATACCATGTTCATCGCCAATCGACTGGAGAACTGGCACCTCCTGACAGGATCTGCAAGGAAAAAAGACCAGAAACTGGTCGTCTTTGGCAACGTCCTCATATGTGTGTATACATAGATATATATATATATACTATGTGTGCATAAATGCATGATACATGTGTTCAGTTATCCTTACATACATACATATGTGTATGTATATATATATATACATTGTATTGCATTGCATTACATTACATTGCATTACATTACATATATTATATTACACTATATTATATTACATTACATAAATACAGTATTATTATACATAATGCATATTCAAAAAAAATCGAGAGGAATCAAGTACAATTATAAATTCTATGCAACTGGTGAGTTCTGATAGATCTTTTCTGGCCTCTTCATCCGGTCGGATACCCATAGCATCCTCCGCCTCAGCCTCCTGCAGAGCTGGCAGGATTCCGATCTCCAAGTCATGCGTGATTCTGTTGCGAACATTTGCGAACAAGTACCTGATGATGATATCATCACCACCACCACCACCACCACCACCATCATCATCATCATCACTATTGCTACACGCCCAGCCATGCAACTCTACTTGTTGTGACTTCAAGTGCTCTGCGGTCCGCCAGTCCCCAGGCAGTCCCCGGCTGTGGCCAGCTGGATCTCAGGCTGCTGGGCCAGAGCCATGAGCTTCCTACGACAATGCGGGTCATACCAAACTGTACCGCATCACCACAGCCATGTCATCCCAAAAGAGTGAGAAATTGAATTGTATGTATATATGATATCTACATGTGTAAATGTATGTGTAGATGTAGATATATATATATATATGTACAATTATATACATATGTGTATGAAGAGAGAAAGAGAGAGATGGATAGATACATATTGTCAAGAAAGCTGTCATGACAGGGTTTACAAACGATCAACCCATCTCTCATGGCTCAAGGAGAAACTAATTACTTGCGGCCTGATGGCATGTTGCTATTTGGATTCTATCGTTTGAACATGTTTGAACAATGTACGCAACGCTGCTGTTCATCAAGGGCATCATCCAATTGAGACCCTTCCCGGGCGGATCAGGGCCTGTGGACAGCAATCAACTTGGCCTTCCACTGCCGCACAAAGACTACGCGGCGAGGCCGGTCCAGGCGTGGTAGACATTCGCACACCTGGGCACTGTCTTTCGGGCGAGGAACTGGTTGGATGGTACCTTGGTGTCTGCTGTCTCTAGTCCCATGGCTGGCACGGACAGCCCTCAAGTCTTACAATCTATGCGAATCGGGGCCGTTTCATATGTGATGCCAGGTGAAATTTTGCAACGGCCCTCCCAAATGCCTTGCGGCTCCGGCGACAGATGTGTAGCCTGCCCAGAATGAGCCACACTGGATCTTGCATCCAAATCTATGAACTTCTGTGAACTAAGATCAAGGAACACCAAAGAGCACTTCTGGACATTGCAGGACGTCTTTCGTCCAAGGCACAGGGACTGCAGCATACCATGGTTGCGCCCTCCACCGGCCAGTGCCAAGGATAAGGTGGCGAAGGTGTGCTGATGCACAGGATTCACCTTGGCTTGGCCAAAGCTGCCAACAACAATCATTTCGGGAATATATGGGAATAAAGGATGAAGGTAAGCTTCTGTTTATATCAGCTTAATATGGTGGGATTATATGATTATACGACATGATGATATTTGACCTTCAATACTCCCACGCAACACAAGTTCGATAGACTCGGATGCAGCAAAACTTGCCAACACAAAACTTTGAGACTTGATTGTTTTGGGGTGCTGAATAGAATGATTCGTCTTTCATACATGAATTGAATGCTAGTACAATTCAGTTCGTACAATGAAAAATTCTCTCAGTGGATGTCACCATGCTTGGCTCATCTCAACCACATGTTTTTCTGCTGAGTCTAGCGCTGCGCGTGGCAATTTTACACCCAATGACCTGAGTCCACGAGGAAAAAGCATAGGAACCAACAACCATCAAGCGTCAAACCAAGTCTATTTCGCAAGACCCTGACAACAGAAACAGCTTGAAGCAAGGAAGAAAATCTAGCACAACCCTGCGTTGCATCCTCATGAAGCTCGCAATCTGTAGATGACTCGAGTGTTCGTGTGCGCAACACAATCTGAATTAAAAAATTTGCTTTAGGACTTTAGGTGTTATGGTGAAATGTCAGCAAATCTCGGACCCTCTTGCCTCCTATTTTCTTATGCATAGCAGACAAACAATTGTCTCCATATTTGGAGAATCTACGACAGGAGCGTCACACCATATTTTGCGGCAAAATGCTGTGTAAAGAGAGAGTAGAGCTTGATGAAGAGAGACACGGCACCATCGCTGTTGAAAGACCTTGGTGCATTGTAGCCAAGGTACGTGGCGTCCTTGAAAAGAAAGCACAATTGTGCCAGTAAACACTAAACTCACCAAGCCAGGAATATCCAGGAAATCCAAACAATGCCCGGAGGTCCCGAAACGGATCTCATTTCATTCCAAGCCCGCGACATTTCGCTATCATTGCAGATCTCCGTGATGTGTTCCACCTGGCACTTCGACCATCTCCAAGGTACCAGGCTCCCACGGTGTTCCACGGCGGTGCAGCCAAGGAACAGCCATGACGTATGGCATATTTCGCATGGTCGGCACCTTGGAGGCTTCAGGGGAGAACTTCAATGGGCACAAAGATAGATTCTCCATGTTTTTCCAAAGTTGGGAATGTAAAAAGTACTCAAACCATCCCATGTCCATGCCATGTAATGTGTGTATGTAAACATATGTATTTACGTATATATATATATATTATATATGCATGTATATATATATATGTAAATATATACATGTGTAATTGCATAAATATGCATAAATATGCGTGTATACTATGTGTGTATGTGTGTATATATATATATATACACATAATAGCATAGCACATGTCTAACATCGTCCACATCGACGATGCTGTTTCAGCATCCCACCTCAGGTCCAGTGTCGTAGATAGAGTCCCTCCTTGGCTCATGGCATATCAAAGGTGCGGAGGGCAGCAACTTCACAAAAAAAAAATGTGGGTATTGGTGACCCAAAAAAAAGAGCTGCTAGGACCCGCGCCAGATTTGGTGATGTGTTTTTCTCATGAAAGCATGAGATTTGGGTATTCTGGATAGTCATTACTTTGGGCCTGCTCGTTTTGAATGGGTGTTGCCTCAGGCGAATACCAAGATCGGTTCGACATTCTAATTCAACAATGGTTCTCCTCAACCTGACAAGGAGATCCTTTCTACCATCAGGGGACTCCAAGTGGTGGCTGCAGCACCATCAACCGAGGATCTCTGCATTTCCACCCAAGATCCGTTGCATGAGATCGAAGGGCGAGGACAACAAGGCGTTGATGTCCTCACGAAACAAAGGCAGCCAAGATGGAGAATTGACCAAGAAAGAAATATAAATACCATCAGTTTTAACTCCTGGAAAATTAAAAAGAACATCCGACAGCAACGCATTTTGGTTTCCAGGACATGCATGGACTTGCAAATGCAGGTATATTATACATATACAGTTTATATATATATATACGTATGTATATATGTATGTATATATATATATACGTAGAGAGAGAGAGAGATTGCTGGTCTCAAACCGGCGCTCCGTGTGTTGCATCCATCGTGAGGCCGGAGGCATCTCCATCAATCCCAACACCACGGTGCTGCGGCGTTCCTGGCGTTGCACGGCACAAAACTCGCTGCATGTCACACAGCACCCCCGGGAGATCGCAGCCTCGACGGCATCCATATACCTCTCGCGGTTCTGCAACATCAGGACGTCCTGCACTCAGATTGGAAGTTGACACTGTAGGAAGTCTACCTACAAGTGCATACATGTCTGAAAGTACCGGTCCTTCAAACCATTCCTTAAACACTGCCTGTATGATCCCGAAGAGTCAATAGCCTCTAGATTTACTTCTCTGGATTTTGAAAAGCGCTTGGCAAGGCCACCTGAAAGAGACCAAATACCATCTATCCCAAGAGGTTCATACCAAAGTTTCACGATACCATTCCCCCGTTGTGCACCTCAGGATTCAAACGATCACCGCGAAGTGCTGCGAGGATGAGGGCCACCAGCTCCTTAGCCAACTGTTACTTGGTGACTCTTGCTTGAAGGTTCGGAATAGTAGCCCAAGTTCGCACTACAAGATTCATACTTTTGTGTATATATAATGAAGGGAAATTCTCAAACTATAGGACATTGATACCAATATCAAATCCGGGTAAACTGGCTGGCAAAACACCATAGTAGTTAAATTTCATCACTACAAGAATCACGCAGAAAGCATAAGCACACCGTCCAATTTGAGCTTTAGCCATCCTACAAGGCGTTGATTTTCAGATCGTCGCTTACCCCCATATCAGCATCTAGCGGAGCAATGAAAGCACCCCCACGACACTGATAAAGCACCCCCACGAACTTAGTAACAACAGGAAGAGTTCCATGAGAAGCATGGATACAAGAAAGATATTAGATCTGATAGCGAAATTCCACAGTCGAAGCCAGGGAGGCCAGAAACACGAAGGAATTATTGTGCAGCAGACGAACGAATGAGAGAGATCATTACATTACCCAATTTCAAAAATCATCCAAAGGCTAGAATTGTCCCTGTGGAATGCATAGAAATAATAGTAATCATCATAGTAATCATGATAATCATGAAATCGTGAAACTAATAACAATAGTTATTTCTAATCATAGTAATAATATAAGGAAAAAATAGTAGTTAATGGTACTTATAGTAATAGTAATGATAATACTGATACATAGAAATTAATATGAAATAATTGTGCCAACGGCCTCTGGAGGATGCCCCACTGCGAAAAAAGGCTCCGTCTCGCCAGTACCAAGCCGTTCCGCACGCAAACGCCGAACGATGCGATCCTGCGGAGGCCATTCGCAGCAGTGACGGTTCCAAGTGATGAAACGTTGGATGAAGAAGCTGAGAAGAAGCTGACAAAAGCTCCACAAAAACCGCCATTGGAGTCATGGAAATGGCAGTCTTGACCTTTGTGGACCGTTTGGAAAGAACCTTGTTGACTGTCTCTTGCGAGCTCCAAGCACAATCCTTGCTCCCTAGGAGGTGTGCTGTGCTTCTGAAGCCTCTTATTGTGTCCAACCCTCTGTGATTCGAACCCTCCCAAACTCGAGGGAAGCTTGCCGAACCCAGTCCGCCTTCCATTTCTTCAAGGACTTCGCGTGCTCTCCAGAGGCTGTCAGCATGGCAGTCGGGTCCTGCCGACAGAGCTGTCAGACTCTTCAAAGTCTGAACGATATGAATTGATTTAGATGTGGATATCACAGCTTGTAGCTTTTAATTTCTCTGGCGACTGCAGTGGGGTGACCGACAGAGTCAACTCCCACAAGTGCTTCAAACAACTGAGACAAGTGGGAAAAAATGTGTTTCCAAAGAAAATGCGAATGAGTGCATAACGTCCGACAGTTGGGGTCGAATCCTCCAGCATGTTCTTGAACTTTTTCAGCATCTGCCCCTGCCGACATTGGTCCCAGGTCAACAGGAGAACTAGGAGAACTACAGTACTTGGAGCCTCCTCATTCCCCGGTGCTCCGGTCCTCGTTCCCTAAACCAGCTCATTCGGCAATCAAAATTCAAAACGGCTCTTGGTCATTTTCGGTGCTGCCCATCCATTTCTTGGTGCCCCATTGTCTGGAGTATGTCTATATATATATATACATATCCCCTTGTGCCCTTGTCATTGTCAAAGAATGTGTTTACCTAAACCCATTTGATCTTCCCACCAGTGGCATTTGTAGGGCCTGGTCCCGGCGCAAGGCGTCCACTTCTCTGGTCACCAGCAGCAACTTCTCACGGTAGTGTCGACACATTGTAAGCACCTGACAGTGGGATCAGCGAACCCTGAAGCCGCCTACTTGGGTCATGTATGTATGTCTGTCTGTCGGTCGGTCCGGCGGTCCGGCGGTCCGTCCGTCCGTCCGTCTGTATGTAATGTATGTAATGTACTGTACTGTAACGTACCGTAACAAAACGTAACGTAACCTAACGTATGTATGTATGCATGCATGCATGCATGCATGTATGTATGTATGTATGTGTATCTGTATAATATGTAAATGTATACATATATATATATATACACAATATATATATATACACACGATATATATATATACACGATACATATATATATATATACACGCTATATATATATATACACGATATATATATATATAACGAAATATGTATACATTTATACATACATATATATATATAACGAAATATTATATATATATATATATGTATACTGTATACACCACAATACTATACTATTCTTGAGGTGAAGTTTCCTAACTGTGGCTGCCCAATTTATTAGTGGCCACTTACCAACTGAGATGAACATCCAAGTACCAACAAAATCCTCCAACTGCCGGGTCACCTACGGGTTACCAACAGAATATCAATTGCACCATGCCCTTCAAAGGACTGCAATGAAAGACAGGAGTTTTGGAAACCATCAAATCATCAAACGCAATCACGAAAAACAATCAACTAAAAATGGACCTGCCAACAAAGGACTGTAACTGCAAGAGTGGATCCAACAAAAAGACGATGAAAATTGATGGAAAATTGGCCACGGTTGGTTCCACCCCCAAGTGAACCCGCCTGCATCTCTTCCTCAAAGCTCAAACGACACTCGCCAGTGACATGGATCACCTCATGGTGTCGGATGGTGATATGATACCCGCACGGGGAATCTAAAATGGCAATCCCCGCACTGAAGGTTTTGATGGGAAAATCATCCATTTTCATATGGGATTTTCCAATGCAATGTTTAATTGCTGGAGGGTACTACTAACCATGGGAAATGGGGTCAGCAAAATACCACCATGCTATCTGATAGAACTGGGAGGGATTCCAACGAAACTGGTGGTTGTGACTCTGGCCGTTTCTGGCACTGTGCCTGAGCAGTTCCTGTGCAACAAACTCAAGTCTCACAGGTCCCATATTGCCCTTCGCATTTGTGGCTTTCTTTTCACTGAAACAAATGATGTCACAAATGCTCTTTCACAGACCTCCTGCTTGCTACACAGCTACAGGCTACGTGTGTTCCATCCCATAAATATCCCATCTCTGCCGTGGCACTCGTCTGACATGCTCTGCACCTGCAAGTTGCGGGAAGATCAGAGACCAGGGGCACAAAATGTCATGATCTCTTCCCAGTGGCAGCGAGACTAAATCAGTTCGGCTCAGGGTCACACTAAGTAAAGTTACTCCAGTTCTTGGATCACATTGTGTATTGTGTATCCTAGAAGCCCGGCCACCAAGTCATATATATATATATCCAAAACTTTTGTCAGCATCTTTTGGTCACTTCCGGCAATTCCCTGGCCACCACCACTTGGTGACCTTGAGAGTACAAATGCCATGGCAGAGGCATTCGCGAGTGTTGTACCTGGACACGAATACTCAACATCTAAGAATCTCCTTTCACACCGAGACTCGCGTACCACCAGAAACCAAGAGCAGGTTTCCAGGTGGGTATATAATTACAATTATATAATATTATATATATATATACATTATATATATACATATAATATATGTATGTATATATATATGTATTATCCTATCCGTGTTTCACCAAAAGGTTTTCCTGTTGAACACATCATGATCATGGATTGGAGATTGTGGAGTTCCCAAATCTCTTCATTTCCGGCGCACAGCAAGAGCCAATTTGCAGCGCAAAGCTGTCGCATTGGGATGACTGGCAACGGCTGGCAACGGCACCACGGGAGCCATGGAACAGCCAGGCACTGAGATCTCGCAGTAAAAACTCGCTGTCCAAAGAGTCTGTAGAGTCACAGCTAGCCTGTCTGAAATGGTGGCAAAATGCTCAAAGCAAACCTTGTCTTCACCTCAGTCAACTTCTCGATGTGGTCAACTTTGAGTGTTTTGTGTGGACTCTTGCAGTAGCACTGGAACCAAATGCGAACACTTGAGGTCTTTCACATCGTCACCAAGTCGCTGGTGTAGGGAGAATCTGTGGCCACCGAATTCACCAGCTGAGACACGAGGTGATAATCCTTAGGCCGTCAAGGCTCAGCTACCAGCTGTCTCTGACTTGAACCTTGCCACATCCGTCTCGCGTCTCGCAGCCAAGGCTCTCTATGCAAGAAGAACAGAAGCATCAAGTACAGAGCCGATCCTTGGTATTCGTTCACATTCAAAAACTGTGCATTCATTTCAGACTGTCAAACCGTGCTGACTGTCAGCATCTGTCAGCCAAATCCTATCGAACCTGCAGGTGTTGAATTCCACATCCTTGCCTTGTCTGGTGTCTCTTGGGATTTCTGTCTCTGGAGTCCTTTAGCAAAACATCCTTGACAGAAAGCCGAGCATCCAGTCGTTGGTGGTTGCAGGAACGATGCTGACACGTGAACTGGGTATCTGGGCACAGCTAGGGGTGGAAAATCGAAAAGGTATCGAATTAATTCAAATTGTATACCTTCACTACATGTCACTATTCTGTCTGAGAACTGAGTATTTTGGACTGATATATCCAGTGGGCAGAATTGTATACCGGTCAGAACCTGCATTTCCTCTCTGGGTCTGCATAGCCTCAGGGGCTGCCAAAAACCATCCCTGCCCCAGCGCACAGGAAGTGCTTGGTCGCGCCAGCGCTCCAAACCTCAGGCCAACCCAAAAAAAATCAACCATGGAAGGGACAAAGATTGGCCTCGATACCAGCTGGATATAAATAGGAATTTAACATAATTTAACTAGTCAAGACTGGGGTTGTGATTAGTTCCCCATGAGCTAGGGTTGCCTACGTGCCTATGAATCCACGAGGAATTACTGTCACCAAACTGGGCATGTTCCCGTGACAACTCCGGCACTGAGGCAACAGGCCCCGTGTCCCCGCTCCAGAACCAGCTCGGTACTGAACGGATTCCTCAGGAAGGTAGGACAATTCTTGACAGCTGGCAGAGCTGGGGATTGTCTTCACATATCTTCACCATTTCGGAAAGTGTCGCCCAATAAGCAGCTGATCTTACAAATCTTCAATGAGTTTCGCATGGGTTAATGATGAGGCAAGAAGAAATATTTCGAGTGTACATTGCACAGAAGGATGTTATTCTATCATCCAACTATATATATATACATATCTCGGATTCAGTGTGAGGCTATCTACTACAAAAATCTCACTGCATGTTTGCCATCCAGGAATCGAATAAATCTGGATGCGATGAGGGCAAACATTTGGAACCTGAAGCTGCAAATGTTGGTCAGTCAAGGGATCGTTTCAAAGTCGAAGGAAGCTCTGTGTTGATCAGCGTTGGGCAGTTTCCTCACCTTTTCCAAAACCAAGACTAACGAAAGGGGCGCGGTGTCTCGAAGGATTGACGTGCTGAGTTTGGGACGCAAGTAAACAGCTCCTGGGGGTTCATCATTCCATGTTTGTGGGCTTACACCATGTAATGGTGTCATAAATTTGGTTGTTCAAGGCCTTGCTCTGCCGGTTTTGCTTTCACAGCCCACAGAACAGCTGCCAATCCAACTCACTTTACTCCTCGTCTTCGCTTTGCAGCAACAGAGCGTGCGGCATGGCCTCTGGCAAAACAGGCTGAAGGTTTGGGGCCTTTAAGTCACAAAGTGCCAAATGCTGGCGGGTTGATTTCGTCAGCGAAGCCACTTTTGGACCCCATCCAGCATCGCATCATCCATATTTACTCTCAAAATCACCCGGGAATTCTGAACCCAGAAATACCCAGATATCCCAATAGGAAAACATAAATATGACGAAACCTGACGAAACCTCTTAAAACCACCATTGAAACCTGACCACAATCGTCGGTGAAGGTACCCCCTCGCCTGAAGGAGCTGCATGGCTTGTGCCCGGGCACCGAAGGGTGGCTGCGTAGGGAGGAAAAGCCTGGGCTCTCAGCTGGCTTTGGCTGGTGACAGGTGAGGGACTGGAAACATCCCAAGTCCAGGAAAGAGTCTCTGGAAGCTTGCACAGCAAAGCTTTAAGCTTTAATGATGTTCAGATTTTTTGTGTTGGGAATTCCATGGAATTTGCAGAAGAGAATACTCCCATCTTGAAAAACCTCAATCATCACCAATGACCAATGCTGTCGTGGAGCTGAGAGTGATCCACGGAGTATAAGCGTTGTTCGCCCTTGGGTCCCTTTCGCACATCCCAGGTCAGCTGCAAGCGGGGCATCTCCACACGTTCCAGACGAAGGGGACCATCTTTGGCCTAGCAGCGAGCACAGGTCACAACAAATCCAAGTAACCAAGTAATCCAAGTTCAATGTTGCAGGGCAGAAAAAAAAACTCAAGAAGTTGTCAAAAATTGATATGTCAAGTTGGCAATGGGAATGCCATGAGGTTTTTTTGGCTTCAGCTTCTGAAATGTGCCTCCCATGGGTTCACAGAAGTCCATGCCAAGATGTAGGACAAGTTCTCTGCTCTTGCCAACGAATCAGCCAGCTGATGCAAAGGAGTTCCAGCTTTGGTGTGCACCAAATCCAGCAGATAAAGGTCTGGGCGTGCCATGTTGTCACGGAAGCGTTTGATGACCACGGCACCCCACCCCTTCAAACCAGTGCAAACAATCTTCTTGATGCGCACCAGCTTCACAATCAAAATGTGATCCACCTGTGGTGCAGGGTGTGGGAAAAGATCACACAAACAGCCGGAAATCAGACAGAATCAGACCAACCCAACACATCAAAATGGTCTAACGAAGAGGACGCCCATGATTTTCAGTATATTTCAGGTCGGCTTTGGGTCCAGACTCCAGTAAGATCCTCCCACATCTCCGTCACATCTCCCGACCTTCTTGTTGCTGGAATCCGCTTCCAGGAGATCCTCCTCTTCGTTCTCCCCAGAAGGCCAGCGACCCTTGGCTGGATATCCACGGATCACTCGATGCGGCGGGGCATTTTTCTGGTAGAAGTTGTAGTCCTCCAACCTCATGTGCATTGGAGTCTCAGCATCCCCTGTATTCCCTCCAGCAAAAGATCTCACTAATTTGGGGACCTGTAAGAAAGTTGCTGACGAAAGGGATGGCATGGTCTGCTCAAGAGCGAATTCTTTAGACACCTGTCACATGACCTCACCTAGCCGACCTAGCCCTTCTTTTGAATCCTTTTTGTGTCGCTATTCGCTCCAGGTCACAGGGCTTCTGGCAACAAGCCCCACAGCACTCGTCGCGGCAAGAACTGCTCACCCACTTCCATCATTCGCTCGAAGGGCGACTTCTCTGTCAGCATGCGATCGTGGAAGATCTCCGTCTCCTTGATGGATCCGGCGCGGCAATCGAAGCCAATGTAATCCACCTGCTCTGCGGAACGATCCGGGAAGTCGAAGTCCACCTGGCAGAGTCAGTGATTTGTTCCGTTTTTTTCCATGGAAAACTTTGACAATGTCGTTCTTCATTGACAGTAAATCGATACTGATTTCCGAGGCCTGCCGCTCTCCATTGATTCGGATTTCAAATCCTTCGTCGGTCTTCTCAAACGCCACCTGAAAAGTCAAGCCACTCCGGTCACTCCGAAGCTATCATTTCCCAACTTAACACACATCAATGATCATCAATACATCACCACATATCACCACCGATCCAAACCAAACTCGATGCCAACAGTCAGCTTCCAGTCATGGCATGGCCTCAAAGACATCGGACTCAGAACCCAAGGGGCATCCTCCAGTGCGGATCCTTGGTGCCGTGGTGCAGGGCAGGCCATGAAATGGTTCACGTATAAAGATGTATAAAGTTAAAGTCATTTAAAGTCCATGGCCTAAGGTTTTCAAACTCCAAACATGTTCACACCATTTACAGCGTGAGACCCATGGTTCTCTCTCTCTACCAGTACCTGCTCCTGCGGTCGTAGACAGTCTACTTGTGCTGTGTGTTGTGTTGGGCTGCATTGAGTTCGGTTGTGTTGTGGCTATTGTTGTATATAATGTTGCCGTCATTGTTGCTATCCTCAGCTGCCATCGCTGTTGCTGTCGTTCTGATGATTGGCATGGTGGTTGGTTCAATTGGTTGCGGTGTTTGCCAATGGTGTTACCGTTGCTGCTGTCGTTGCCGCCATCAAGCGAAAATGGTTTGATCAGCCTGGCCGTCAAGCATCTCTGATCCTTTGGCGCTGTCAATGAGGGAGTTCCTGCGCTTCGGCATGGAAAGGATTCAAGATTCAAGAAAATGGCTTAAGGATTTGATGTTCACAATAGAAAAAGTTGGCCCATTCCAATCAGACTGAATCTGGAGTGGTACACCATGTCCAGTCAAGTACAGCTGCCCTGAAGGTCCATCTCTGTGGCATTTATCCCTGGCTATGTTCCAATCGAAGAGACAGTTGTCATTGCCCAGCCAAGCCTGAGAATGCACTTCCGCTGAGTACAGGGAGCGAACGAAAAGATGCAATCAGAACCAGCGTAGAAGCAGAAGCGCCAGTCCACACCATCTTTCCTATTGTAACCGGCCCCCTTGACCAACATACGATCTCCTTCTTGGAATCGTACAGGCACACGTCTTGCCATGTTCCTCTGACATGGCTCACACAAATCATAGTCACAGTCTCTACAGCGGAAAGCTGTGCCACTGCAACCACAAAGGTTGCAACGATTTGACTTCTTTTTCTCAGGTTGCATCTCATGTCCCTGACGACAAGTGGTTGCAAGAAGCTCTGCTGGGCTGCTGCGCAAGGGTTTGCGCCGTCGCTGAATTCCATCCTCCTCCAGATCAACTTCATCATCCTTGGCGGCCGCCTGAGTGTTCCGCTCTGCTCCGGCATCGTTGTCATCCCACTCCTGTGGCTCCAGCTTGCAGCTTTGGTCAGGGTGACAACATAACATCTCACAAGCTACAAAGTCAACCCTGCTGTTCCTTAGGAAAAACATGAAAAAAACATGAAAAAACTTGATCTCTAATATCTGATCCATTCTTATGGATGGCAATGATTTCCCACCATCTCCTCTGGATCATCCAGGGGGTCACTCTGACCATCAACCTCAGCACCGAAGCCCAGCATGCCCTTGACGGACGTGCGCGACACCGTGCAGCTGTTGTCATGATTGCGCAGATCGCAGCCGGAGCCACCAGCCTCCAAATTGGCAGGGCTGCTAAATGCATTGAACTTTTCATGGGGGATTTTTCACTGTGTTTGAAGACACCAGAGGGTACCAAAAGCATCCAGAAGCTGTGTAACTTTGAGGGGGCCGAGATTACATCTGACCCGTGCTGGAATGATGAAAGCTACATAAGCGTGATCCTAGCAAGAATCTTATCCCTTCCCCTCCCTCCGCAGAACCACCCATGTCCAAACTTGTCAAAGTGCCTCGTAGCGTTCCCACATTTCCCAAGGTTCGCCACGCTCATCCAGTGAAGGTTGGAGCTCGCGCATGCAAAGCCGCGCATTGCTGGTGTATTCCAACTGACGATAGAGCTGATGACCGTAAGCCCTCAGGGAAAACATAGAGACTGCTGCAAGATATACTTCTAGATTGCATGCTTGGAAACTAAATGCAATTATGGAAGTTGCCCTGATTCACTTCTACCATCTGTTCCAGTCAAAAAGACAAGCAGACTATGCCTTTCAGAGATGACTCAACCTTTCACAATAGTTTGGCATCCCTTTCATTGGTCTCCAAACTTCCATCACCCTCCGCCACTTCCCACCTGATGTCATAGACATGAACCATCCTCCTTTCTTTGAACAAGTGCACCTCCTTCCAAATTCGAGCCTTGGCATCTTGGTGGACTCCCATCAACTGCACCACCGTGGTCTCCGTGGGGATGGGCTCATCCTTCATGAACCACAAAGGCGGTCGTCGAGGAGGGGGGGGATGAAGAACCTGCGCCTGGCGAAAGATTGGCGGGGTAGAAACGGTAGTAACGGACCCGCAGCCTGTTGCTTCACATATATATATGTGTGTGTATTATATATACATATATAATCACATACATACAGCTTGATTTCGATGAAGTCCCGAGTTCGTCAACATGTTTTCTACGAGTCTTCCAGCGACTGATAGTCTGGCAGACCTTGTTAAGGCTTTTTGAGCCAGCCATTTTGATTTGGTTTGTTTGGTGTTTTCCACTGAAAAACATTGCCTGACAGGTTCAAAGAGCTCAGCGATCCAGAATTCATCCTCCTCCATGTCTTCCACGTCGTACAACCGATCCCATTCATCCAAGAATGGCAAGAAGCTGGCGGGCTTGGAAGACCAGAAGGTGGCACGGAACGGGATACTCAACAGCTCACGGACCGTTGCATTCGATGATGTCAGCAAGGCACTGCACTGCACCGTGGTCTTCTGCTGAGCACCCTTTTCACCAAGTTCTGACACAAAGACATGCTTGAAATCCTCGTCATTCCAAATGAAATCTTCCAAAGGCACCAGAGTTCGGCCTCGGACGGTCACTTGGAGCAGTTGCACGTTGAGTTCAATCCAAAATGCATCGGAGGCATTCACAGTTTTGATGCCTGATGGGCCTGATGGGCGGTCTTTGATCTCCTCACCCTGGGCATCCTTGTCTGGAGCTGACTCGCTGAGAACTCCGAAGCGACCTTCATACTCAGAGCTGTCACCAACACAGACCCACTCGAAGTTTGCGGTTTCAGGAGCACTGTTATCACCTCACTGCCAGGATCACCTCTCTTTACCCCAATCAAAATAGCACAAATACAATCAAATACATACAAATACGCGTATGCAAACGTATGCAAAGAATTAGGTGGGCTAGTTTTAAAGACACGGGATAAGTTTCAAAGTTTCAAAACAGTTCCAGAAAGGATGCAATCAAGACATATCAAGACCAGTAACCCAGTGCTGAAAGTTGATGATGACAACTCCTCAGCACTGAATTAAATCCACTGAGTGCATTGATGCGGCGTTGTTCCACCAACCACTTCACCATAAAGCGGCGATGTAGCTGCAAGGCTTCGAAGAGTTCTGTCTCTGGCACTTCCAACCTCTCTTGGTTGAAGGTGTGATGTGATGAAAGGTACGTCAGGGAGGAGAGGAATCGCTTGATGCGGTCAGAATCGAAGTTCTGGATGGGAACATTGCGAAGCACCAGCACCTGACATAAAGAGACTCCGTGGTTTCCCAAAATGACCCCAGTCATCCATGGGCTTCGTGATTTGGGATATCCCACCCTTAAGTAGTCCCACAGCACCTGGTGCGCGTGCAAGCGACATGCCAAGCTGTTACACTCATCCTCGCGCGCGGGTTCCTGTTGTGCCGACTCTGCCAGCTCCTCCAACCATCGATCAAACCACGGAAGAACCTGGGTCAGAACAACAGCTGGAAAGGACGGGAAAAAAATGATGAGGTTGCTGAGGTCTTCAAGCTCAGATCAACTTGCCAAGGTGTTTTGCACCAGCTCAAGACACATCTGGAGACATTTCTGAGGAAGTTCAGTGAAGATAGTGAAGGAAAACCATTCTGTTTGCCAAGGAGCCTCTCCTTCAAAGGTGCTTCGAAGAAGCACACGTCCACGACGCAGTTCTTCCAGCACATGAGGAGTTGCTGTCAGGCGCGGCCATGCCCGTGCCACCTGGCCCTCCGCGTGGTCCATCAGCAGTGCCGCCGCAGATTCCACCCGCACAGCCAAGCGCACAGAGAAAAGGATGGCAGGGACCGTCTCGGAGGTCACCGAAGTGGCTAAACTCAAGGTGAGCGCCATCAGCTTTCCTACTGCGGTCAGAATCTGGGCAGGGCCATGGGAGAGCTCGGTCAAGATTTGACTGAACGGGGAGGCCACCAAGTGTTCCTCCTCGGCAATGGCTGGCACATACTCTGGAATTTTCTGCATATCTTCGGGGTACAGCAGCTTTCCAGGCTCCAGCATCGTGGCTTGCAAGATCTTCTGCAGGGTTCCTTGCCGAAGGCAGTTACTTCGATCTTGGGTGGTGAAGAAGCTCAAAAGCAAGGGCTGACGCAAGTAAGGCACCTTGGGAGCTGTCCAAGGGTCAAGAGATGCAACGGTGGAGTGTGGCAAGAGAATGGTGAGCAGCGGGCTTCATGACTTTGCATGTATTCGTGCAAACCGTACCGTTCCATTGGTTTGGCCAGGTACCAGTAGACATTTGACTGAATCAGAAACAGTGCGCCCTCCATCCGGAAATTTAGCATTGAAAGGAAAGATATTTTCTTGCTATGGCCAAAAACCTCTGAAGCAAAGCCGAGATGCGGTCAAATAGGACAGCAGTGCTTCGCTATCCGACGGTCGAAGCATTGGTCTGCCTGTCTTCTCATCTGCAAAGTTGGGCAATGACCTGCGCGTGTCGCAGGAATCGGGTTTCATTTCAGCACTGCACATACCTGGCTTTCATCATCCCTGCAAACAGAAGCTGGTGCACTTCGAGGTTTTCAGGATGGATCACCATTTTTGCATAAACCCAAAACTTGGATTTCACCATCATTATTCAGCTCAGTCGTTTCATTCTCAGTGGATTTTGTTGGCCAAACACCCTGTCCCTACATCTTGGATCATCTTGGGGGTTCTGCCTGCACAGCCTCCAGTCGCCACGAAGACGCACTGCTCTAATATTGTGGTGATGTGGAAAATGTTTTGGGCATCTTTGTGCTATCTCCAACATGGCTCCCCAGCAAAACGCACCCTGGCCTTTGATAGAGCAGGTCGTCTTCCGTGCCTTGGTCAAGACTTCAAGACCCAATGGTTCTGCCACGGATGGAAGAGCCACCCTTTCGTCTCGTGGATCGTAAGATCCCAAAAGAAGGAAACGAGTGCCCAGCTTCAACAAGACATCACCAAAAGAGCAAGTCTAATGTTGGACCACACACTTTGCAAACCACCTACAAGCTACAACTCAAGGCATCCTGCATTCCAGACAAAGACTCAACAACCAGAGAATTTGCTCCTACGCTCAAACCTACCATTCCATTTGCCATTATAAAAGAAACCATGTTCAGCTTCACATCCCATCGTTGACAAGCTACGCACTTCGCCTTTTGTGTGCATAGCTGGCAATGCAGGTGAAGGATAACGATGCCCACTGGCAGGCGGCTGTGGCGGATGCCTCTCGTTGACCCATTGGACATTGTCCTTCACGGGGTCAAGCAATGGATTTGTGGTTGCTCGTTTTTTTCCCTTCCCAAGAAGAAAGAGAGAAAGAGTCACTTTTTCGTTGGACTGGTTCTGCCATCAGTCGGTTTTGCACATGTTTTTTACTATACGAGTTTCAGTACTCATGGTTGAATTTTCCGCAGATCAGAAGCCGCTGCATTGTTCAAGCCATTGACCAACTGTGAACGTCAGTAACATCGCGATGTGCAAGAATCTTGAATTCAAATCAGGACCTTAAAAAAATCAGGAGTTCAGACGAAGCTATTACCCAGCTACCCCTTGGTCCTTCCCCAGAGCTGTGATCTTGAAGTATTGCCGGCCCTTGTCCTTGGTCAAGTGTCACCATTGGATGAATCAACAAATCCTGTCACAAGATTTTCCGCTGAATCTTTCGGATGGTGAGTAGCTTCACCTTTGCCAAGTGACATCCACCTGCACCGACCATCTGGCAATGGCTTCTGCGGCTTGGAACTGCCGTGGCTCGGGGAACACGCGGACGTCGGTGCACAAGAAGTACTTCCACCAGAAGACCTGAGGATGAAACAGCCGAAAACAGCCGCGAAACGGCCATGAGATGGGGAATGGTGGGATGATTACTCTCTTTTTGGGCAAATGAAGCCCTGAATTTGAATGGTGTTATGCTATGTTATGCTATGTTATGCTATGTTATGCTTGTATATAACTTCATGTTGGAAAGCAATCCCAGTGCTGACCCTTGCATATATGAGCGTCGCATCGTTGAGGGTTTCCATGCTTTAGTTTGGGCCTCAAAGCCAGGGTGCAATGTCTCGGTAGGCCCGAAACTCAGGCCAAATGTGGGGCATCATGACGTTGTTTCCTTTGGAGGGGGCTCTAGGCTTTCAACTCACCGCATGTACGTCCACTGTGTGAGCTTTTGGATACAAGTCCTGAAATGTCCTGAAAGGAAAAGAAAATGTCCAGATGTCTCCTCTCTAAACTTTTGTTGTCAATCCTCCTGCCTTCCATCCCAACACCCGCATACACAAGCACAGCATCCAGACAACACCAATCACATCACCTACCTGTCAGAGCCCATCATTCGTATGGTTTCAAGATGGAGGTCCAAAGTCAAAGCAGCGGCTCTCATCTCGTTCGGGTATGTGGCAAAAATGATGAAGCTCGAAGTTCCACCCAAATCCATCGCTGGCAACCCAATGATTGAGTTCAACATTTTCATAGTAAAATGCGAAATGCATCCCACATTTCTTATATGCCTTGACATCACCAGTTGATCGGGTTTCCCCTAATGGAGTGTTTCATGATCCCCAATAAATCTTGCTTCGTATAACCCCAGAACCAATGAAGAAATCATCAACCAGCCAGGATGAGAAATTCCCAGGATCCACTGACCAAGTTCTGTGGATTTGGATCCATCAGCAGCTTCGTGGCCGCCATTCGCTCCACCAATGCAATGGTGCCACGCTCACCTGACGCTCAACTGGCGAACATCTCTGGATATCTCTGGAGAATCTCATCTAGAAGATTTGTATTATTGTATGTTATAATATAGATATATATGGTCCCGAGTCAAAATTGTGTATGGAACGTTCCGCGGTGTTCCGGGCGTATGGAACGAAGGGGCTTCGTAACTGGTCTTGTTCCGGACCTTTGGAGTGTGATGAAATATAGACTATACATAAATAAATGAATATATATATATATACACATTATATGTAACATATATAATATACATCTCAAGGATATGCACGTTGAAGCTACTCCTCAGCTGCACGACATCCTTGTTGTACACCTGTTCAACGCAGGTTTGCCTTGCATGGCTAGTGCTCGTGCACTAGATACGACACGACCGGTAGCCAGTGTCACCCACTGGCTACCATGTGAAGCTGTCGACTCAGCTTCAGACCTGTCACGCAGGTCCCACCTCCTACTCTTAAAACTCAGAGGTCCCTATGGGGTAGATTGTGTCCCTGCATAGCAAGACTCTACCCTCCCATAACCCACGCGCAAAGGATGGCTTACGAGCAGTCTATGTGAGAACCTGCCATGTGTTCACCAGTGGGTCAGGGGTGGTACATGGGTGGTCCAGGTCTGGAACGGGTATGGAACTGTATGGAACGGGGTCTGGAACGAAACGGCCCACTCCAGCACAGCACTGCCACCACGCAGCACATCTTTATCAAAATTCGCAGTTTGGAGCGAGAATAGCGCAGCAAGCAATTCTTAGACTGCCAGCTGGCAGCAGCCAAGCGCATCTCTACAATCAAACACCACAGCTGTGCCACAGCCTGCAGCAACTTTAAGTGGTGCAGGCACAAACCTGCCACAGGTTGAGAGGGAGGGAGGGTTACAAGCAATCCATTCGTAGACTGCCAGCTGGCAGCAGCCAAGCACATCCCTACCATCACACAACAAAGTAGGTAGCAGCTGTAAGTGCTGCAGGCACAGACTTGCCAACACAATCACAGGGCTTGGGCATAGTAAACGTATTCTTGCATGTATGCACTCATATATGTGTGTACAAATGTAAAATCAGATTGCACATAATCAAATATATAATTATATATATAATTATATATATATAATTGTATATATATATATAAATAATAATTATATATAATTATATATATAATAACGTATGGATTAGAGGTATGGAACAGAGGTATGGAACAGAGGTATGGAACAGAGGTATGGAACAGAGGTATGGAACGGATCCTTCAAGGAGGTATGGAACGGGGGTATGGAACGGGGGTATGGAACGGGTGTGGTCCCGGAGCTTGTTCCGGACCTCCTATTTTGACTTGCCCCCATATATATATATGTGTGTGTGTCATCAATGCCCACCAATTCAAGATCATACTGAAAATTGGGGGCCCGATCACCCAGAAATTTGGTGATGTTCTATCTTGGAATTGTGGGGCAAATTCTTAGGCTTGAACCTCAAAGCCACAAGTAAACAAAAACCTGCTAACCTGATACCTCATCCGTCGAGACGACAGTCATAGACCCACTTGAGAGGGAAGGGTGAAAGATCGAAAGGTAGGCGTGGGTTGGAACAGGAGAAGAGAGCAAGGGAACGAGGCATATCCGCTGCGGACGGACGTGGGTGGAGTTGGGGCGGATATCGAAAAAAGTCTTCTGGGCTTGGACTCGAGGGCGGGTACCAAAAAGGTAGGTTTCAGGGAGGGGGGACACGACACACACACAGACACACAGACATATATATATATATAAATACATACATATAGTTAGATATATGTATAAATATCAGGTTATGGGGTTTGCGAGGCAACGTGTAACTGGGGGCAGCACATTGTTGCAACGCGGATGGGGTTGATTCTGGTCTGTACATGTGTAGAACAGTGTGG